GATCTACATCACGAATCTCGCAACAGCGGGAGTTGTGGCAATAATCACATACTCGCATTTGTTGGGCTCTTGAACATTCAAGATAGCATTCTCTTGTGCACATGAAAACATGACCTAAAATATTCAAAGGATATTGGTATCAGATTACATCGCTGTTCAGATATTGACTGAAAAATGGCATACTTTGGTGGATCTCTCTGGTCCATTCCAGCACTGCTCGCCCTGTTTAAAGTTCATTTCGTGATATTTGGTATTAGACTCTCCTGTACCCCATGAATCAAATATGCTGAATTCGGTAGAATATAAAAATACAAAGACTCAGTGTTAGCACATACATTAGAGCAAGATTCTAAATTGCATCAAATGCACATTACTTTGACAACAACATAGTAAATATTTACCCCAAATTAACTCGATCCTGGTGCACGTCCTCCATAAAGCACAGTTTATATTTGTACTGCATATGATTCTGCTCAAAACATTGTCTGTAAAGTGACACAAATACGTCTTCTGGTCCATAGTCCAAGTCAAGTTCTTTGGTGATTCTCTGCATTTGATAGTTGACATTGTCGAGCTGTTTTTTAATGTCCAGTATTTTTTGATTGGTATCGCGTATCTCATCTAGTAAAGTTTACATGTCATATATTAGCAAAAAGTAGATTAAAAAGCAATTCTATCCAATGCAAAAACGTTCAAACTACTTACCAGAGTGATCTTTAAAACTAATGACTGAAGACTGCTCAGATACGCTTGCTTCTTCATGTTGCTGGGAAACAATACTATCTCGCACAGCAAGAATTTTGTCAATATCTTTGTCACGCTGCTTCAACTCTAATAAGTTTGTAGCATTTAGTATAGCATCTAGCCACTCATCCCGGCTTTTCATTTTGATGCTACAAGCTTCTTCATCATGCAACTTCTTTTTCTGTGCATCTGTAAACATTTCTTGAAGCGATTCAAGGTGCGTTAAATAATCTAATATATTCAATTTAGCTCGTTAGTAAAATCATGGGTTGAGTATTAAAACATTGAGATTTTTTAAATCATCAATGTATACTTTAAATCAGCAAGTGTTTGCTACACTTGCCATTTTGATGTGTTTCTTCGTCTTGCAAGATTTGACTTTTCTTGTAATGTTCGTCAAGTTCCATTTGTAATTCATCCAAAATAAGTTGAGAGTTTTGAATATACTCAAGCTTAACCAATGCACCCTATAAAATTGAGTTGAAACAATAGAATGCAGTATAATTGAGTGTTTGTGCTACGAATTGACAATTCAGGTCTGGTCATTACATGTTTATCCCCAATCAAAATGGTGGTGATCTTACCAATCTACGAGTGTTTTCTACAACGGATTTATATTCTTGATCAATTTTGGCTTTTTCAATACAGCGATTGGGGCAAGTTATGAGTCCCGAATGTTCATCGCTTCCATCACAACAAATTTCATCTAATCAACGCTCAAGCTTAGCCACTTTAAAAAAATAAAAACCCAATACGCATTTGGTACTTTACCACATACACCGTCATTTACCCTGGAGCTGGGGATACTTGACTCGATATGATCCTTGTTGATGCATGTAAAGACGCCATTATCACAAGCAGATGTACCTGTGTCATTTAGTAATGGCATGATACAAAGTTAGACCCGACCATTTGTTAATCCAATGGCAATATGAATGTGATGGGTCATAACTCAATATGCAAGTATCTCAAAATCAGTCATCAAGTCTTGATGAATTGAACAAGACATTGATTTACCTGGCTCATCGCTTGCATCTGGGCAGTCACAGTAGTCATCGTTGATGGCTTCGGATGGGATTTGCATTGACCCATCAAGACATGAAAATACATCACCTGGCTTGATACTGGTATATTTATGCAGGTCTAATCACAGTAGGATCGCAAATATAGTAGCTTGCAAGGTTGAGTGATTTGACTTGTCAGCAAATGCAAGGAAAGTGGATTTGTAACTGACAACCTACTCTTTGTAGATACACCGATTGTTGGTTTAAGTAGAGTGACAGAGTTTGCTGTAGCAGTGATGTCGGTTGCCAATAAAATAAAAACTAGTGTTTTCAACTTCATATTCGAGTTCATTGAGTAAGTGAAAGTATGACAATTCACAGTCGTGTTCACGTAAAATGAAACATTCTTGCAGCAACTTTTGCTTTGAAATCAATACTTGTGCTTTCCTGCTAGACATTTCCATTCCAAAACCAGTCGTTCTTCACTGGAATAATTCAATACATTTGATGTGAATGTTTTTGAAAACAATCGTAATTTATTTTAAACGAATACGTTTTAAATGTCAGATTTAGGAATAAACTTCAATGACCCGAAGCATGGAGAGCTTCCTGAGACCCATATCCAGCATCGTCCTTTTTAACATTACCAATATTTTCAATTGGTTTTTTTGGTGCAGCTTGGTTGTAAAAACAACAAGTCAGTATTTCAAATGGTGAATCTAAAAGTGTATCAAAAGACGCGAACTGTGCTTACCAAGAGCGTGCTGAACAGACATCGTCTCTAACCCATATGCTGGCGTCTCACCCGTACCAACTTGAGCCTTGTGTAACCCTTCAGAAGCTTTTTTAGGAGCATCTATTGACCCAATCCAAACCCATGGCGCGTCCAGACATTAAACGTTTACCATAATGCAGTCAAATCACGACATGTAAATCTCAAGCAGACTACAATGACAAAACATACTCGACAATAGTGATGTCATCTAGAAAACTGAAAAATAAAAACTTACGAAGGGCATGGACAACAGAGATACTGTCTGTGATGGCAGTATGGGTTGGCTTTGGAATGTGTTTTTCGCACCACACACTGCCCTGGTCCGCCTTAAAGTTCTTCAAGTTAAGCTGAATACCACATTCAGCCTCATTGCACTTAAAGCAGCCCTGTACCATCAACCCATAGAAATAGTAAAGCCATTTGCAGTTAGCTGATCGCTAGTCTTGTAAAATAAAAAGTAGGTCGCATATCTTGATGTATGGCCTAGTACCATCACGGTTTGTGTAATAGTGACAGAATACAGGTGCTATGACGAGTAAAGGATTACCTTGTGAAACCACCTTCCAGCAGCTTCGAGTTTTTCGTTGGCGTAGACGGTCTTGGTGCATTTTCCACAAGGTTCTTGCATTTTGAAATAGGATTGGTCGGAGAATGTAAAAAACGAGTTTTTAACGTTGAAAACAGACAAGGTCAAAACGGCGCTGAATAATTTCTAAAAGCTTATGCTTTCTATCATTATAGCTCATGACAAAGGACATGAGAACGCAAAGGGAAAATGAGAAATTGTCCGCAATCATCATTCTCAGTGTATCATGTGTTTAGAGCGATGCTCACGTAAAACTCACCACCCTCGTGTAAGGTCGAGTTTGGTTTGTTACTTTTGCGACGACCACCACCACAGTTTTGTTTTAAAGCTTGAGAAAAAGGTTTGGAAAAACATACTGCTTTTTGGTGGTATTGTTTTTTGCATAGATTGGTAGACTGTCTACTGATTTAAATGACAAAAGCATCCATTGCTCGTGTCTCATCACAACCAGTTTACTAAAAAGCCTGCTGTTTTTCTCGATTGAATATAAAACGTCATTCATCTGGTCTTGTTCTGACGCGAGTTTTAGTGTTCACTTGTATAGTCTATACTAATCTAGAACAATACAAACATTTATCCATTTTTATCCCTTTTAAATTTAGCTGTAATAAATATGAATAAACAATTGTATTCACGTAAAATAATATACTAGGAAAAAACCTCGATACATTTTAAACTGCTAGATTTACTGCCCGATAGTGTGCTTATCAAACTCTGACACATCTCACTAGTTTTCTGGTGATTGGCATCAAAACAACTGTTGCATTTTTAAATGTGCAATCATTGTTGTTGAACTAGATTGCAAACGTATTCGAGTTGTTAGAATACAACAAAGTCGAGTCGTATTAACAACAACAATCAGTCCTCGATACTTGGTTTCAGATTTGGTGATCGTACAATATATGATTGTCAAAACCGGATTCAGTTCAAAACCATAGTTTGTGAACATTGTATATTGAATCTATTGAATCAAATGTAGCATAAAAACACGACAAACATTCGACTATTGATTATTCCCAAGCAAAGCAAGTCGATGCAAGATAAAGTATTTCATTTACGTGAATATGGCAGTAAACTTTGCGAGTTTCTATTGTGAATTCAGTCATGGGTTGTAGTTTATATGTCAAAGTGTAAACTCGGTCAAGATTGATTATTAATCAGTGATACGGATTGAGTGGAGACAATTGTCATGGAATCTGGTCAATGAGTAATCTGATCATCCAACCTAGAATTGGCCAGCATAATGATCAAGTATTCTACACCACAACTAGACTTGACAAGTCATGATAAATAAAATAGTTACATCGCTGTTATAATTCAATGATACCTCGAACGTCTATTTTTTATTTCAGGTCATCATTACAAAAATCAAAAAAAAGGCAATTACTGCAGCAAAGATTTTTAGCATTAGTGCTCGATTACTAGAGATATTTTGATAGTATTTGACAAGCTGTGTGTGGGCACCTTCCACATTCATTTGGACATCCATCACGTTGTCATCAATACGCTGAACCATTTCACGCTGGCCAGCAAGCACGGTAGCAAAATTTTGATAGATCTGGCCCAACTCAATGATGGTAGATTCAATAGATTCAATGGCTTGACTGCGAGATTCAAGGTATTCGGATTGTTCATAGGATTGACTTGCTGGAAGCATCATGGATTGCTGGAGACCCTGTGAACCAAAATCTATTGCTATTGTATCGGCAGACATTGGTACTGATGAGTATCCTGCCCCTGCCGATCCAGTTCTGAGTGTAGGTTGTGGTGTTCCAGATGTGGGCTGAAAGGATGATGATGAACTATTGGGATCAGGAGCAACAGCTTGTATTGCATTATTAGGGCGTCGCTCAGGATGATACAATGGAGAGTCGGAGGTATCCATACTTGATCCAGCATTAGATGCAAATGAGTACTGATCTCGTCTACTCTTTTGATCCTTCATATTTTGGAACCTGACTTCAAGAATGGATTTAAACTCATCTGAAGTAGTAGCGAGTTTGGATTGTAGACTAGAAATGACATTGTGTGAATGCTCTTTGGTTTGTCTGTTGTTGGAGCGAGCGCCAGAAGCAGAGGTGGAACCAGACGACCCAGAAGCATCCCCACCATTCCGAGCCAAATAATCACCTAGCTTGCCGATTTGTAAATTGATTTTGGCAATATCTTGTTTGATGACATAAATGAGTTCGTTGATTTCGACTGGTCTGTCGTCGAAAAGTGACTTTCGTTTGGCCAAAGTTGTGAGTTTCTGTAGTTTGGTCATGGTTGAGTTGATGTCACGACCAATAGAGGATGCAGCTTTGGTGAACTCAGACTTGGTCCGTAGCTGTGGACCTGCTGCATGGTGACCCTGGTGGTTGAGCAGGTGAATCTTGTCTGCAGGTTGCATGGATTGCTGGCGATGAATGCCAGCATCTCTTGATAAACAAGACTCGACCACAGCTAAAAATTCATTTGTCCTGTTCTTGCCCACCATGATTGTCAATGCAACAGCAGTGGCAAGCTCAGGCAGTTTGAATGCAAGTCGATGCGCTTAAAGTTGTGATTTTGGAGCCTTTCATATCACGTGCATCAACTCGGCTGCGTCTTGGCCAGATTCAACTTTGGCAACTAAAGTTGAATTACTATTCCATAGTCGATACTGCCATCTTTTAAACAAATTCATCCAACAAACTAGACGCAAAGTCAATTCAATGATATGCTTTGCTTTAATCTACAAAATATAAACCATGTCAAATTGATGCAATATTGTCTGTCGCCAGTTCAATCGCTTCTTGTAATATTTCTACTGCCTCGTTTACTATTTGCCGAGTAAATACTGTTGCAAACTTGAATTCCTCATATTCCGCGGCATCCATGGTCACCAAAGATTGCTGGAACCAGTTTAGCTTGTCTACACAAATTCGAATCAATTGTTGCAGCGTAGCTTTTTCCAAGTCTTTGGAAATATACTGCAATGTTCCTCCAAGAACACTTCTCCATGCTGGTAATACAGATGAAAGATCGCTACCTTGAGATACAGCTACATATAAACGCATAGCATTCATAAGCCGATACCCTAGGTCGTCATTCGCTATAATAAACTCTCTGATGTGTAGATGCATGTTCAAATAAAAACAATACTTGTTAGCATGAGTACTGTTAATGCAGAATATGACTGGTCGTTACGTAGATGTAAATCAAATGTACATACCCATATAGACCCTCAGATTTAAGCAAATCAGATACTGTGCCAAAATGCTGCATCATAAAGTCAACTTCACGATCCAACACGACATGATTGAATGGGTTTTTCAAAATAGCGAACCCATACTCTGCCAGTAAAAAATTGTTATCGTGTGGACCATAGTTGATGAATACCTGGGATCCTTTTTTATATGGCACTAGCGTGCGAATAATATACGCCTTTTCTACTGTATCGTACCCAGCAGATATGCGCGCTGTGGAAGTGTGGTTTAAACAATCTAAAAAGGGAGCAAGTGTGATGATGGGCTGTTGATGAATATGTGACAACTGTGGTTTGGAAATAGCGTTGGTGTTCATGGTAATGCATCGAGTATTGACAACAATCCATGCCCATTTAAAAATATCCTTGGGGATCATTTCATATCCAGAGACTGCAAGCGCTGTACATACAAATGCGTAATCTGTATCTAGTTTGCTTTGTTGATTTTTTGCAATCTCTATTTATAAATAGTGCATTAGATATGTTATGCCAATTCCAACTGGAGTTGGTGTCAAACATTCACAAATGAAAGGATAAAGGCATACCTTGAATATCATACGGTAGCATGGCCAACAGTTTCAAATCAATGCACAATGGCATGGTATCAAACGATCGAGGCAAAATATCTATATAAGGCGACCATTCAGGAGTAGGATGAATTTTTTGCCAAGCAATAAATAATGCAATGGACGGATGTTGTTTGAGAGCGACGATTGCTGGATGATTATTAAAAAGCTTGTGTGTCCGTCTTGGAACCAATAGCAATCTTGCTGGAATGCGAACAACAGGGTCTCCAATCTAATAAAACAGTATTTGAATAATCAATGAATGCAACGAGATACGAGTTTATATTGAATAATCAAGCCATTCCAATGGATTAAATTCAGTTTAGCTGATCATTGAATGTAGAAACATTGATATAGTTGGTTTACCTGAAAGTCTGATGTGGCCATCAATCCTCTGCCAGTATCTACATCAAAATAGATTGAAAGGTTGGTTTGTCAGTTGGTCCAAGACAGTAGCAAATAAACAACTATGCAGTCTTACCAGAAAAATGAGCAAGAACCAATGAAGAGATTGAACAGTTATTCAGCACAAGCCATTTCTGAAATAACGCCCAGCATTCATTGTCCTCTATAATTGTTCCGTGAATATTGGTGGATTCGAACATTTTATTGGCAAGAAATTAGGTTCGTTTTTAGCAGTTGATAATTTTACTCGACGGAAGTATCATCAATCTTTGATAATTTGGGATGGACGGTACTGGTGAGTCCTAGTTGCGCAGTCATTCCATCCATGTTTTATCGAGAAAATACACTAGCTACAGCTATTGGACTTTGTTCAAGAATACTGAGCTGTGATGCTAACATTTCACTTGAATTTGCTACACTGTATGCAACAAGAACCAAACGAGTCTGAGGAGCAGCTCCGTGCATCATCTGTACTGTCAATGAATACAAGAACTGCAGCTAGAGAGACTGTTTTGGATATACTTGCTGATATGGCTGAAGCTACTTTAGATACGGCAGGATCTGCTGCCATGGAAAACACCATATACTTGCAAGGCAACGATGTCCATTTAGATGGGCTAATGGACTCTACTATAAATAGCGGTATTCATGATATTATGGAGGATGATGAATTGGATCAAGATTATCAGGACTTTCTTGCAGAGGATGATGAAGAAGAGGATTCAGACGAAGAAGATTCAAATGAGGAAGACTCGGACCATGAACAAGTAACTTTTATTGTTGATAGATCTTGGTTATACTGACTGTCAATTGTATTAGTTAATTAATTTTAATATGTATGTCGGATATCTGAATTTGATGGCGGATTATTTTAATGAATTTGCTTAGGAGCTTCCACCACATCATATTTATAACGGCATGAGAGATCAAGCTGATGCGCTAACGGTCATTGATGTTACACCAGAAATGATAGCGTCAGGAACAAGTATGTGTCATTGATATGTAGATGGCTCAAGGATATGCTTGAATCTACAGTATTGCATAGAGTATAGACCGATACTTTTGGTCAATTGATGTATTATTTACTCAAGCCTGTTTTACAATAGTTTGATGTTTCACCTGTACTCATTGCTATATTTCAATTCATATATAGTGGATTTACAGGGAATTAGTTGGAATTTGACGTTTCATACGCGAGCAGAAGCACGACAGGAGCGGTTGCTCCAATACGTCAGCTATGCGAATCTAGGAGTAGATCGTTCGCAAATCATGAATGTATGTATGTTTGCCATCTATCATTTATCTTTGCAGATAGTGTGCTATGAATGTTGCTGTGCCTAAACAATGAATATACTGACATTTGTTGAAATCATTGTGTGCATGGTATATTGCATTTCAATAGGAGATTCATTCTACCAAAAAAGAAAATAATATGTTTAGATTTAGATACACAAAGCGAGATTGTCATTGCTCTATTGTGCATTTCCAGCTGCGGCATTTGCTTGCAGCTACCAGTAAAAACGATATTTATTTTCCAAGTAAGCCCATGCGTTCATTTGATGTAGCTATTTGATTAGAAACAACTAAACCGGTGGTTGTTGCATCATTCCAGATGGACAGCACGTAAAACATTGGAGTCCAATATCACGCACATCAAGTGATGTGATGTCACTTACTGGGCCGCTATCACGGATCAACATTACTACTTTGGATGCGCAAAGTAACATGCTGATCATTGGAGGTAGGGGTTGCTATAAATGATTATATTTTATGATGGGGTTGTACCTTGTCAGAATATTTTTTTAATCTAATTCAAGTACTTTATTCAGGCTTTTGTGGGGAATATGCATTTAAAAGATTAGATAGTAAGCAGAGTAAGTTGTATACGGGGACAATCACTACGGACGAAAATGGCATTACAAACCACATGAATTTGCAAACAAATCGGAATGGCGTACCACAGTGTGTTATTTCAAGTAACGATCGACACATACGCACTCTGGATTTAAATCGGATGGAAATAGTTTCAGTATTTCCGTTTCCTTGGGCAGCCAATGTGAGTTGGGATGTATAATGATCTGTCTTGGATATGAACATGAGATTTAACATTGAATGGCCCATTTCTGCAATGTGAAACAGTGCTCAGACCAAAGTCCAGATAAACGATTACTTTGTGTTATTGGCGACAATCCAGAAGGATTAATTATCAGTGCCGATTCAGGAGAAGGTGAATGCAGCAGCATGAAATGGCTTAGCTAAATGCCAGTCAGTTTAAAGTCTAGATGCATACTAACTGTTTATGTGAATAGAACTATGCCAGCTAAAAGGGCATATTGACTTTTCTTTTTCATGTGCATGGTCACCATGCGGGACATATATTGCCACGGGCAATCAAGGTATGTGAATTCAACACATGAATCATATTTAGATGCTTTAGCAAACAAGAGATAGTGTATTGATCAACAAGGGATTTATATATCAGACTGCACCACGAGAATATATGATATACGACGAAGTGACCAAGCGGTAGTAGTTTTAGGCACAGACATGGGAGCAGTGCGATCGCTTGGATTTTCTCAAGACGGTAAATTTCTTGCAGTAGCAGAGCCAGCTGATTTTGTGCATATAGTGGATATGGATACGGTGCGTGGACACCAAGGGGAAGGGAATAGAGAGGACAAGACAGTATCAGTTCAAACCGTCGAGTTTTTTGGAGAGATTGCAGGGGTAGCATTTGCAGGAGCGCATGGAGAGCGATTGTTTATAGGCAACGAAGGTAAGCGATGATTAGGACAGTTTATTATTTGTGACGAGTCTAACCATGACAATAGATTTCCGGATAGGTGGATTGATGGAATTTGAGAAAAGACCAATGCAACATCATAGTGGAATAGACTGGGACGATGCAGCAGCCATTGTGCTGTGATGACACTCGTATTATTGATGAGTTTAGGGACTCACACAATCCATGAGTTTAGGGACTCCATGAATTCAAGACTCGTATCATCAGAATGTATAGTTGATGCAAGACCATGATTTTAGGACAGAAGAGGGCGACAGAATGACATTCGCGAATGGCATAACATGAATGGGATTGCGCATGCGAAGGGATTGCAACAAGGGAGTCTTATCAGCTGAACAGCAACCCTTGAATCCACTCAGTTTGAATCAAGCAAACTTGACTCTCGCTGTCCAACCCTGAGTCTTGGTGTGTAATCCCTGTTAGCACAAGAGGCCACTTTCCCAAACTCGAGTATAACTTATGAACAGGCCTTCACTCTTGTCTCCTCCTCCACAGTCAACCATGATGCTTCAACAGCAACAGTTGTCTGCTTCTGCTCTGACTGCTCCTAATAAGCTGTTCTCTTTGGACACTCAGAACCTTCAGCTCTCTTCACAACCACAAACTGCTTTCGATTCGTTCCAGACTCAACGATTACCACAGTCTCAGTCTCAGCAACAGCAGCAGTTGAATGAGTTGCTGCTGTTCTCATCTGCTTCCGTTGCAAACACTCCCACTTCTGCAATAGCTCCTGCTTCCATCTTGAACTCGCAGGACAATCGCTTTCCTGACTCTTCCACCATGGCTGGATCCTCTCACACTCCTGTCACGGCCTCGGACTTTCTGTTTATGGATACCAAGTCGTTTGATCCTTCTGTTGCTGCTAATCAGTTTCAACAGGCTAATGCAAACAGTTTGGCCTTGTCCAATGTTCTGGCTTCTGAACGAGTCTCGAACGCTTCCACTGCCAATAGTTTGACTGCTGGCATGTCTCAACTGGCTTATCCGCCTGTCACTTCACCTTATGTGGCCTCCATTCAAACCTCCCATCTTATGTTCCCTTCAGAAAATCATTCTCCTCTAGTGCCTCAGCCTGGCTTGCCTTTGCTCGACTCAAGCGGCAGAATCTTGGCTACTCACTCTGCCAACTACGATGGATCCCCTCATCCTTTTGTGAATGACTTTCTGTCAATCCCAAACATGGCAAACTCTGCTCGTCGAGCCTCAAACCATTGTGGCTCGATTATGGGCCTCGAGGCCTTGACTGCTGGCTTGAATGTCGACCCCAGCCCTACTAGTGCCCACGTCCAACCTAGTCCAAACAGTGCTCATATCTTGATGGTCCCTTCTCCATTCATCCGCACTATCCAGTCTCCCATGAACTCTCCGTTTAATTCTCCATTAGAGCCTTCCTTTCGCTCTCCTATCGGATCCATGATGTCCTATGGAAAGTTTACACCCGCTCATCGCAGCTCCCTATTATCTCCTGAACAATCGGCCAACGCCTTGATTGATTTTTTGAAACCTGCAACCCACCCTTCGCAGGAATCTAATCCATCCTACATGATTCCACCGTCCCATAGTTTACCATCTGCAGGTGAGCCTAAAAAAACCTTTGAAGACTTTCTAGCTGAAAACGGGCTACTGGATTCGCCCGCTACCACTACTACCGATACTTTAAATACAAATAATCGTAACGGATACCTTGCCATGGCTCATACTGGTAACTCGGCTGCTTCTCTTTCAAATACGTTTAGTTTACCTGATTTGCAGCATATTCAGCAAAATCAGCAACAGAACCGATTGCAAGTATCAGATCTGCCTCCTCCACTCACCACTCGTCCTTTCCATGATGACCGCAAAGGTGTTCATGATAGTGTTCCTGAAGGAAAGTTTTGGATCACTCTCAAGACTCCACTACAAACACTCTATCAATGTCCACATCCTGACTGTCTCAAGACTTTTACTCGGCCATATAACTTAAAATCTCACTATCGATCACACACCGGAGAACGTCCGTTTAAATGCGAGGTGTGCTCACAGGCATTTGCACGAAAGCATGATTTAAAACGGCACCATAAACTACACGAGTATGTGCTTGTTTCTATTCTATGATTCTTGTTTATATTCTAATCTTACATGTTTACTATTTTATTCTACATCCAGGGGCCAAAAACCATTTTCCTGTCCAGCATGCAAAAAGGGCTTTGCTCGAAGTGATGCTCTTCGTCGTCATTTAAAACCCTTGGAAGCCAACAAAGAATCTGCATGCACGTTGCGGTTACGGTTGATTGCTGAAATTGCCAAAAATCGTACAATGGCCGATATTCCTCGGCTCAGTGAGGAAGTAGAAGACAAGGATGTAGATCTGGTGGAAAGAATGATTCGTGGCGACTTGGACGAGATTCTCACTTTTGCGTTTACAGTAGACAACGAAGACACCTTGTTAAATACTGATAACCGGATTGAAGAGCTGAATGGCGGAAACATGGACTTGAAGGGCAGCTCAATGGATCTTAATGCAATCAAGGCCAACATGGATTTGTCTGCATACCAGCAGCATACAATGTCCGTTGGATATGATCAGTTCTCACAGATGAATGGCATGCCGCTTTCAGGCATGCACCAGTTGTGAGACAGTCTGTGTACCTAATGGTTCACATTATCCTCACCTAGTCCAGTGAATTGTTTGTTACACATTATTCTGCATCATATCCATCACTCTTCGTTTATTTTTGGCTCGACTTTAACTTTTCATTCCACTTGCTGTCTTGAACCTTTCATCCACACATGCACAAGTCATTTTTCAACCTTGTTGGGATTGTAGTGGGACATGATCAGGGCTGTCGTTGTTAAAATTAGTCCCATTATTTTTCATTCACTTTCATTTTAAATGCATTTTAGTTTTTGGGATTCTCAATAGATCCCAGCTTTAATCTTGCCATCTTTTTCACGAAAATGCGTTTAGCAAAGTTTTTTTTAGTTTCCTTCAGATATCGTCAATTTCTTTTCGGTGCGAGTTTCACTCCATCAGTCGGTGTATATGCTGATTGTGTAGTAGTTGGTTCTACTAGATCACATGTGTTTTTGAGAACCCCCTGCGACATATTGAATTTATGTTGCTCTTGTGAATTCGATATGATTTCTGGCAAGTGTGGTGGTTGAATCAACATCTGAGTAAATGAAAAAAAGGAAATGGGCAATTGTAAGCAATAGTGAATTTACAAGTTTTGCCAAGCAAACAAGTTGCATGAATATTTTATATAATCGCAGTTACCTTTTGAATCAGTGGCGAATCTTTATGTGTTGCGCCTTGCTTTAGTTTTGTTTTAGAAATCGATTTTGCATTGGTCTACATAATATTTGTGTTTAGATTCAGCACCACACATACTCGAATTGCAATCATTGTGCATTGGAAAACATTAAACTTTACCAGTAATTTAGTCCTTGACAAAGGGTCTTGTGAATGTTCATTTTTGTCGATAGTAGGATTGGCGACACTTGATTGATCTTGACTGGAACAATGCATTGCGTTTTTGATCTGATTGATTTCAAATGAGTAATTCATTCTATCATCACTGTTGATCTGTAAGTGTTTTACCTTTGATGTTCTACGCACATTTCCACCCATCTCTTTGGGTTTTACGTTTGATGGCGGTTTGGGGCATTCAATCTTAGTTGGCTTTGGATTGCCTAAAAGTTTGGTGCAAGGTTTTTGACCAGATTGACCGGGTTGGCCAGTATGGATAAAGTTTTTTTGTACACTTGTGATATCATCAAACCTTGTTGATCGGTTTCTTTCGTGGTCGTGAGCATCACTTGCAGGTCCATCATGCCTTGATTTTCCAAAAGCCTGTAATGAATTCAATCCAGTAGCTAAACGCTTCTCATCTAGTAAAACTACCGCCGTTCTATTCATTCAACCCACCCACACGACAATCAAAACAATGCAGCATCAGTTCTATTTAAACAACATATACATGCTACACGATCAACATAGTTTTGCAAGAGAGAGCGTCAACTCGACTTACTTTTGAGTGATGAGCTTTTCTGGCACAGTACGTTTGGTAATCGCCACACATTCATCTAAATCATACTTTATCTGGTGTTGGACTTGACTTTTTATCAAAGTATGCTTATCTTTTGATCCTTTTGAAGCAATCGATAGGGCTGGAGTGTTTTGATGGTTCAATGCAACATGATTGGAGTTGGAATGATGTGCGTGAGCGTTATGGGACAGTGGTGTAATAACACTTGATGTTTCATGTGTACCAAATGCAATATCTGTTCGAGTCGAACTATGGATTGATCGAGCTGGACTTTTTGGGCTATGCAGAGTAGTAATGGGTTTTAATGAAACGGAGGCTAAAGGCAGCGTGGCTTTCCATTCAGATTGTCTTGTCTACATGGCAGTCATATAAATACATGTTATACAACCAGCCTTATCCTAATAGCAGTATTGAAATCATTCCACAACATCAACTTGGCTCGAGTGCTGTAAAAAATACCTTTGATGGAGCGTGATCAATAAGTTTAATTTTTGATGTTCCCGATTCTCTACACATTGCAATACAATAGAGTTGGATTCGTCACAAATGCAAACATTTCAAATGAATTCAACAATAATAAGTTGAACTTACTTGTGAACAAGTTCGACTGCTTTTGCTACCATATCAGATTTTTTTGGGTTGGCAGAAGTATGTTTTGAATGCTCTGTTCTTAAAATATGGGATGATAGAGTTCGTGTAGAAACAGCTCCTCGTGCCCATGAATCGATGTGTACTGGCTCTGGCTCTATAGATACAAGCCAAATTCAAGCATAGTTTTAAATCTATTCAGTAAACAGAATCTAGATTCAATGCAAAACGTATTTGGGCATGGCGTAATGGTTAAACGGATGCCTACCTTCATCTTGCTCCCAGAGTTCTGGGTCAATGTTTCCTGGGTCACGTCGAAAGAATCTATACTGTAGATGCAATAGCCAATGTATTGCCGTGTATTCATTAGCAACTCATCCTGATAAAAATAGCCATAAAGTATAAACATTCAATAGAATAAACTATCCACTCATGACGCATTAACTATTTAAGATGGCTTACATTGACGAGTGAAACGAGAGTATCTCGTGCAAAATTGACAGTATAAGGAAGCACTTGAACATCAATGTGTTTTTCAAACAGTACATGTTGTGAGCGCTGCAGAATATCTTCAACAAGAGCAAGAGCAAGAGATTCTCCCTCTTCTTGGTCTACCAACTGCAACCACTCTTCCTTTGTTGTCATGTACGTATGAATATACAGTCTAGATTGGCAAAATGTTTAGATTCGAAACCCAGCTTGTTTTAATCATATTCACGTAAAAGAAACACTTGTATCTATCTTGCAGTCACTATCCTGCTTTGGAATCACCAACAACTAGATATTCGTTGTATTCTTGTACTGCTTTGATGTGCATTTTCGATTCTTCAATAAACATAATTCAGCCATGGTTTTGAACCAATTGTCTTTTTCTCCACTTTTGGTAGTCATACATTGTACAATCATCATATTTATCCATTGCAATACAGATACCAGTTTGACTGTTCTCAACTCTACCAACTTTTGTATTCTAATATCAGATACGTTCGCGCTCTAATTTAAAAAACAATCTTGGAAATGCAGTTGCTGTTTCCATGCCAATCACCAAAAGACAGCAAACTAACAAGTTTACAAAACAATGTCCAATGAATCTGGTCAAGATCACTTTAGATTGACTGTTGAACGCTTGGTTCATTTTGCGTGAATACAGTTGCAATTTTGACTTTATCTGGACTTTCCACAACTGCTGCTGAATGGACTGCTCTATCTGCTGTATAAATTCAACCCAGTACTGGTGTGCAGACTGTGTGTATCAACAGTAAGCTACCACATCTTTACTGAGCATTAGACTTTCAGATACCATCCATACTTGTGTTGCTAAGAGTTGTCAATGCATTACTTTTAATATGAAATGGTGCTAAAAACCAACTGCTACTGGAATTATATCATACCTAGCATTCTCAAGAAATCAGAGATGGTTTTGAAATATCGGCAGCAAAAGGCAGACTTGATTGCTACCATTGAAGAGCATCTAGCTGCATCTGGAGAATGCATCCAGGAGTTAGTTGGCACAAATCCTACATCCAACGGATCTATCTCTGCCGAGTATGCTTTGGTACTATCAAGGGTACAGTTGCTGGAAACATTGGTCGCTAATCGAAAAGAAGTCATCCAACAACGTAAGCTTAATTTTTTATTCGAATGCCATGACATCCATGCTGATGACATCAAATGGGATCACTTGGAATGTCGCATCGAAATAGTATTCGCTATAGACTAGTGAAATTAAACCTAATAGGATATGTCATGCTTGATTGATTTGCACTAGTGCGAGAAAAGGTATTGAACATGCAGACCTTGAAACAAACTCGAGCACAGGATATATTCAATATACAAAAGAGACTGGATGCTATACGACAAAGCAGTATTCAGACCATTCAAACCAATATTCAGCGCACAACAGACTCGTATATTCAGATCATCAACAGTATGCTACGACATCGACGCAGATTAGTCAAGGATCTTTTATCAGTGTTTCGGCTACGAAGGGTATTGAGACGGAAATCCGCAGGAATTGGAAATGACTCTGGATCGGGTAAAAATGAAACTGAAAGATGGAATACAAATGCTATGTCTGCAATGGGATCTACTTCAACATTGTCATCACCCAACACATCCACAAATCGAAATCGAGGAAAAGAGAGCAGAAACTCTAATCTAGCAGCTCATATGTCTGCCATAGACGAGGCAGCTGGATCACAAATTGAATACCGCGTTCTTTTAGTCGGATTCACCATCTACGGAGCCTTGCATTTACTAACAAGTAGGTGCATTCTCTATATTGGACTGGGATCCCAATGCCAGTCTACAGCATTAGTGACTCATTTTTGATTTATGTTGACTTGTATTTATTATCAGATCAACAGAGAGAAAAATTGAATGCAGTAGTGGGATATGCATTGCAACTGACAATATTTCTCTCGCAGTACCTAGATATTGTACTTCCTTTTCATACTACCTTTGCAGGAGATCAATCAAGCATCCAACAGTCGTTTGAATCTGAAATAGACCATGGGTAATTGTAAAACAGCAGGCCATTGTATAGTTGACAACATACTGATTGAAATCTTATACTTTTGGATTAAAACCATACAAAAACAGCACCAAACCACTGTTCACAGACGAAGCAAATACAGAGTCATTTGTGACAGGTTTAGCACTACTTAATTACAACATCGCTTACCTATGCTATACACAAGGAGTCAATATTCCATTTGAACGATCTGTAAATCTCTTGGAAAATCTTGCTGCGTGTTGTCAGGCAATAGATCTTGGACGGTATGGACTCGCATTTACCATTCCATTTTACAAATGGTCAAGAGCTGTAAATGATCCAAAACTGCATTATTTTGAATAACAAACTCATCGTTGTATACTTTGATTTATACCAGAGAGTTTGGACGACCACGAGATACGGCATTTACGAAATCGCAGTTGTTTGATTTGGAAGCATCTAGCGTTATTCAACTTCATGCAGCGTGTTGGACAACGGGAAAGCCTTGGGAGCTTGTTAGCCCACCTACACATGCAGAAGCGTTGATGGGCGTCAAAGTAGACGAATCTGCCCGCTCCGTATCTTTAAAATCACAGCACTCGAAAGCCAGTTTGGAAGATGTCCCTGTTCAGCTTGTTGCTTTTGGTGCAGAGCCAACTGAAAATGAGGACAGTGGTGATGCGTGGCATATAGTAGATGAAGATGAAGGAGTCAGTATGCAGATTTGATCCGTCGAGTATTTATTAGTCATGGTCAGAAAAGTAGATCAACATTATAGGATTCAGTTTGAATGTAAATGTTACAAAATAAAGGAATCAAGTCTCAGTTTCGCCTTGCTATCGCACACACATGAGTGCCATCAGATCAGGTTTATATAAGAAGGTAGAACAGGCATTATCATTCATCTTAAGGTGTAGATGAGTTGGTTCCAAGTAGTGATGATGAACAGATGGCTTTAGATGGGTATACAAGTCGAACCAAAGGGGCATTCTACGCTGCCGAATCACAGTAGCTCAACTCATATCCTACTATGCCTCGTCATCACAATACTACTGCCAACCCATTGCATTCATCCAGAAAACTAGATTTGGCCAGACTAATATCCAACTCCTTAATAAAATGCCAGATACTGAATCAATGACTCTATAACGATTACAAAATGTGTCATCATTGACTGGATGCATTGTAGTAAAGAGTGGTTGCTATGCATTACCTAGTGTTGTGTTGGAATGCACTAATCCGTATTAGTGATCTTGATAGAACGATGGATTCAAATACACAGCGCACTGGACTAAAACCAACATGATTTATCAAAGAGTTGGAATGTGTGTACTCTTGCAATTCCTTGATATTGAGAGTAAATCCAACAGTAAATTTGGGTTGTCAGTAACACACTTGTGCAGAATCAAATAGAAGTTGCAAATCATATAATCTGAACACTCTGCAATCCACACAAGAAAACACCATCAAATGAAAACCAAATTTGTTTTATATGTTTTGGGAAAGTAGATAAAGAAGCGACTATGCAATGTGTTGACTTTTCAAGTAGGTTTTTCGAGTGGTTGATCTTTGTTTTGCAATTCGCTCTTGACTGCGTCCGGTTGCTGATTTTGGTCAAGTAAAGGATTTCTGGATGACTCGGTAGGTTGATTTGGTTTCTCGAGAGTATCAACATATTCAGTTGGAGTTTGAACAAGTTTTTTGTGCTGGCCTGCCAATGGAAAATGGTGGCTCGTATCGACCTTGGACTCGTCAGTATCTTTTACTAGATGATCATTGAGGTGATTGAGCACATCAGATTCATTGTGCCTGTAACTCTCTTGTTTCTTGACAGCATGCTTGTTTTTTGAATCATAGTCATCCAGCGTGTCAACATGTCCTTGGAAAATATTCTTATCACCAGAGTCATCGTAAAAGTCATTGTCAGTGTAGAATAGTTCTTTTAGTTTGTTCGCATGGACATCCTTGTTCATGTCTCGATTTTTATACTCGTTTTGCGACACCAGATCCGCTAGTGTAGGCATTTGGATACTCTTTACTACATTGACCAAAGACAAGGTGATGATGAATAGAGCCACACTAGCTACTGCAACTATTCGAATTTGTTTTTTTTGAATCATGCAAGAGTAATATTCAAGGGTGTGAGATCAAGCCAAGACGATTCGGGAGTTTATAAGATGGCGGAGTTTGCAGCTTGAATTCAATTATTTTGTTTATTGGTTTGCATTAAACGCCATGCATCTTTGAATACTTTACAAGAGCTTTACCAACTCCGATACAGCACTCAAACGTGTCCAGTGCTTTCAACAAGAATACTGTTCCATGGAAATAGTCGAGTGAAGGTTCGAATCCATCTGATCAACTCGTATAATTTTTGGCCAATTCAGATTGGCCAAAAATCGCACAAGTTGAGTTGGAATCATCTACTGCCATTCTCACCTGAAAACATTCACTACTGGACATTTTGGGTAATCTTCATTTAGCAATCCATCTTGTACCAATTTCTATATCTTTTCAAAAACTCATGCATTCACTATCTTGATTGGTACATAGTCAAAGTTTTGTATTTCCAAATAATTATAGACTCGAACTAACGAGTTTAACTCCCAATGATGGGTACTTGACAATCAGCTCAGCAATGGTCTTTTGGACATTGCTTGGGTGTTGTCTTGTATCATCCTTGACTATATATATCAAGCAGTCCATATGGTTTTATGATTAAACTGCCTATTCATCAATGGCATGCCAGTCCTCTAATATAATGCAATCAATTGTAGCTTGCCATACTCCAGACATGTCAGAAAACGCTCACAGAAGATCAAAGGATGATGACCATGAGCAAGACCGTTTACTTCCAATAGCCAATGTTGCACGAATCATGAAACGTGGGTTGCCAGAAAATGCCAAAATAGCTAAAGAAGCCAAAGAATGCATACAAGAATGTGTATCAGAGTTTATCAGTTTTGTTACATCCGAAGGTAAAGAATCATTTGATGATGTCTATGGGAGAATGGCTTATGTTTACAAACGTCGAGGACAATATCAGCTAATGAATAACCATTGCTACTTGAACTGGTCATATTAGCAAGCGACAGATGTGCGCAGGAGAAACGCAAGACCATCAATGGTGAGGATATTTTGTGGGCAATGCATTCACTTGGGTTTGAAACATATACAGAGACACTCCGAGTGCACTTGCAAAAGTACCGTGAGGTAAGTTGCTGATAAAAACATCTGCCACGGAACTGTATAGCAAGTATAATTTAAATGCTAATACTAGAATACTGCTTTGTTTCCGATTGGTAGCATACGGCAAAGTCGGAGCGAACAAATAAACTAGGAGATTCGGCAGACCTTCAGCAAAATAATGTAACTAGTGGAATGAATATATTGGACCAAGATGCCATTCATCCAAACATGATTGCAGCATTAGCCCAGGCACATGCCCAAGCGCAAGCACATGCTCATGCTCAAGCAGAGGCCTTTGGGCTGTATCAATAGATTTTTATGGTGAAAATTTATTTCAAGCATTTAGTACTCGCCTATTGAAGAAACAACATTTGCGGCTGGGCTTATAGGTTATACTTGTAACTGCTGTATTTGCTTAATGGCTAGTAGATTAGAATGAAATAATATCAGCAATTTATTTGAATAGCTTATTGTCGTTGTTTAATTAGCCGATCGAATGTAATGATTGCAATATTGGATGTATTTATGAGTGGATTGACTCGTGGCAGATGGTAAATACCAGTATTTTGGATTGTATCTTTTTTATCTCCATTCAACCAATCTTGACCGAGTTTACACTTTGACATATAAACTACAACCCATGACTGAATTCACAATAGAAACTCGCAAAGTTTACTGCCGTATTCACGTAAATGAAATACTTTATCTTGCATCGACTTGCTTTGCTTGGGAATAACCAATAGTCGAATGTTTGTCGTGTTTTTATGCTACATTTGATTCAATAGATTCAATATACAATGTTCACAAACTATGGTTTTGAACTGAATCCGGTTTTGACAATCATATATTGTACGATCACCAAATCTGAAACCAAGTATCGAGGACTGATTGTTGTTGTTAATACGACTCGACTTTGTTGTATTCTGAATCACGGATACGTTTGCAATCTAGTTCAACAACAATGATTGCACATTTAAAAATGCAACAGTTGTTTTGATGCCAATCACCAGAAAACTAGTGAGATGTGTCAGAGTTCAATAAGCACACTATTGGGCAGTAAATCTAGCAGTTTAAAATGCATTTTGAAATGAATGAATTTAAAAATATCGTGCACGTGATGTATATACAATCATATTCATGTAAAATAAAATACTAGGTAAAAATCTCTGGTTTGAATAACAATTTGATCGACTGCAATGAATCGATTGCCAACACAGTACGCTCAAATGGCAGCAGCCTTGACTTTATCCAAAGTATCAGTTATTTCAACATTTAGAGTGCATGCACTCAAGCGTCAGATTCCTCAGTCTACATCACACATGCAGTTATTCCCATCTTACACTCCTTTCAGAGGTAATATACAAAACCAACTGTGTCAATCTATATAATACAAGCTGAATTCAATTGAAAAATTGATTTGTATAGGTCTGACTGCTACACCATATATTCAAGCTACATCGATTCCACATTCCAAATCATACGAATTATTGACCATCAAAGCCAAAGAGTGGTTCAACACAGGACTGGATTTGTGGAATAAAGAAGATATAGCAGGTGCAATTGAGGCATTTGAGAAATCTGTGCACTCACAACCGACTAGTGATGCTCATTTTAATCTTGGAAATTGTTTCCACATACAAGGTACCAATAAGCTCCAACGAAATGTGGATGAACTCGACTTTGATTTAGCTATTGTTGTCATTATACTGATTGTTTGGTTTAGGTAAACATGATAAAGCACTTTTGCAATGGAACATGTCGCTGGAGCTTCTTCCTCGTGCAGATGCCCATGTCAATATTGCAAATGTGTATGCCATTATTAAACAGGATTTGGAAACTGCTACGCCGCATTATGAAGCTGCACTCGAGCTTACCCCAGATGATGGCGAAGTGCACTACAATTATGGTGTCGTGTTGGATGCTTCGTCAAAACTTGAATTGGCAGTTGAACATTATCAAAAAGCCAGAAAGCTCGGTGTGGAACTGGCAGAAAAGAATCTCAGAAATGTGCTTGCCAAACTGATTGGACAAAAGGCTAAATTGGCTGAATCGGAAAATACTCCCAAAAAGGAATAAACTTTGATTTTTGAAATGCTCGACTTTATAGCTAAAACACAAGACATGATGCAAAGATAAATGAAAGAGCTTCAGCAATTATGTATTTTGCAAATGTCAGTAGATTGCTGATTTGAATGGTAGGAGCATCTCTTTTAGCATTTCATCCATACAGTCTGTATGCTAATCTAAACCGATCGTGTAATTTTACAAACCGAGTTCATATTTTTAAAATGCAACAACAGCCTGCTTGATGCCATATGAATACTTTCGAAATGATCAAAGTTGAATCTTTTATAACCAAACATACTTTTTCTTGTCTTTATCCTCATTGTCGCTAGCTATAAGTATGAATTTGATGTGGTTTAAAATGCTTCAAGTATTGCTATCAGATTGACATATTTTTCTAATCTAATGGATTCAGCATCTAAAAATTGTCCCTTATTTGACTACAAAACACTATTTTGACAGTATAGAAATGCAAAAATAATATTTCATTGTCGTATCGCCATTACAGTATGTTGAGCCTAATCCATATCAGCCCAATCAACATACTCATCATTTGCTGGAATCTTTGGACGAACGTATGTCGTATCAGTAGATTTTGTTGACTGTGTACTGCTAGTGGAAGCAACAGGTTCACAGGAAGATGTGACAGTAGCAACTACAATCGATGGGGGATCGGCTACATTGTGAGATAAACCCCGACTCAACATACTTTCAGATCCCTTCCAAGAAGTGGATGCAGGCTGTCTGGAAGCTATGGTCGACTTTGCAAATTGTCTCGAATCGTCACCATGACTATTGCCGTGGTGCACACGATGCTCACGATGATTAAAGTCATGATTGCTGTGACGATTGTCTCGAGCATGGTGACTCCCACCGTTTCCTCCATACCCTGAGCCATGCCCACCTCCGCGGTTGCTACCTTGCAATCGCCCCCGACCATTTTTATCGGGTGCTCGATTATTCCATTCATGATCCGTTTGAAGGGATCTAGAGTCTTGAGACATCCATTTTTGAGTGCTACTAGACTCACCATGTGGAGATCTAGATGAAGCATCTACAGATATAAACAAGTCTTTTTCCCCAGGGAGTGATTTGGAATGTGCAGTGGATATAGATATCATTTGTCGCTGCCGTTGTTTATGAGACTGATCAATATTGGCTTGGTCAGGTCGAGGTGGAAGTGCAAGAACTGTTGGAATGGAAAAATCGCCAAGTCGACAAAACTGAGATTTGTCTTGAGACTTTCCACTTGGCATTGTACCATCATGTGTAGCAGAGGATAATGCTCGATTATGTGTTTTTCTAATGGGTTCTTTACCAGAAGAATGTGGAAGTGATTGTATGCCTACATTGGACCATCCGCTCTGTTTTGGATGTGCGAATGGCACGCCCCAAGTAGTTCGTTCGTGTGATGTTGATCTTGCACTACGATGAGTCGGAGAGTGTGATGGTGAGCGAGATCTCACTATAGCATCCGCATTTCTGGCATCGCTGGAGAGATGAGGTGATACTACTAAATTAGTCGTGCGGTTTGGTTGAAGAACGGATGGGCCTAATCGTTTATCAATTGACAGCTTACGTTCGTGTTTATAAGTATTGCGGTCATGGTTATAATAATTGTGATTGTCCCAACTACGTACATGGCCGACTGTTTCTGGTGAAGCTCTTCTGTGCTCACCGCCTCGATCCTCAGTATCACGATGAGTATTGGAATGACTGCCACGACCTCCACTTCGACTGTTTCCATCTCCACGGTTTCTACCCCTGCCTCTACCGCGACCTTTCCCAGACTTTTCCATTCCACCATTACGGTTATTTCCGTCACGATCAAGACTTGTTCCTGTGCTATTTAAATAGTCATGATCACCATTAGGATGCTCGTGAAGGCCATAGTGATGGTCTTGATCATGCAAAGTATGATTCTCCTGATCCTGAGCGTGACTATGCTCATTCACTCGGCGTCCTTTATTGGTACTTTTTGTGCTCTTCTCGTTATGATCTTGCTTACTTTCATGATGGTGGGGCTTTGAAGCAGCTGTATCGGTTGATTCCAAACCCCGCACTGGCGATGTACTGACATTGGAAATGACTGTCTTGGTAATGCGAGAATTCGCATCATGCTCCCATTCATGCTTTTTAGTTGTTGGATTAGTGGGAATTGAAAACAGCTGTCGATTGGCTTGTGGCTGTTTTCGTAAAGGGCCTTGCTGTTGTACCGATCTTTTGTCAGACTTTGCCGTTTCCCAGGCATGCTTTACACCAAGACTGGTAGATTGAAGAATTATAATCAAGACATGATGGAAACAAGAGTAACAATATTAGAAACCGAATGATTTGATAGGGCAGACTAGCACAACACATTCAAAGACATTGCTTCCGATGATTAGAATACCATTGAACTGCGTTTTGTTTTAACCAAAACAATCGCACAGTTGATAAACTCCATTTCAAAAGTGTAGACCAAATGGCTTTAAAGGTCCAAATATCATTGTCTAGATTGTGCTCTATTGCTGCAATAAACTAAAGTTTTATAAACCAACTCAAGATCTTACACAGGAGATGAAATCATCGAGGCCGGGGTAGGATCAAAACGGGAATTGGCTTCTGGTCCTGAGCGAGTTCCAGAAGACAGAGAAGCATCCTGTTTCTGTCGCATATGTGGTGGTGTATACATGCCCCGCTCTGGTCGTTGTTGTCCTCGTTGAGCCATCCTACCAATACTTGCAAAGCGTATCCGTAAACTAAACACAGGATATATGCAGCCAAGTTTCTACCGGTGCAAATTCCAATCAAAAACAGATAATATCCTGTAGTAAAGTATAACAAGTCCTTATTGAGATTGTAGCAAGTTGGACCCGATTTGATATGTCAAGTTCGGCTTCAACAGTTTCTGCGGTCCAACCATGCAGTCACGTGGGCGAGTTTGCTTCAAAATCCGACTATGAAACGGTTTCAAATATATTTTGTTGGTATTAGTTTGGCCGGAATTATCCCCAAAACTGCGTAGAATCAGACTCGACCGCTTGAATCAGCACGTCGTCTGCAATAGAGTCTGTGTCGTCATCCATAAACACATTCGTATCTATAAATGGATGAAGCTCTATGGGATATGGCAGCTCTTTGGACCGATAATGGCGACAATCTGGATCATGGCATCTAAATAGTATACAGAATAATGATAAGATTCAGGTAATCATACATTGATATTGTAAATTCACCTTTGTACCTTTGAAAATATACAAACGTTGCAAGATCAAATACATAATACACTCCATTGGATTGATGCTCGCGTCCAATATTATGACAGTACCGGTTATTACTAATTTTAAACCAAACCTGGTTAAGTTCCGACATATACATTGTTTTTTGAATAAAGGGAACTTTTGATGAGGGGTTTATGGATTTAATGGCTGAAATGAGAAACCTTTCCAATGCAGGAAACGATTGTTCTGAATAGTCCATTTGTCCAGTGTTCGTACTTTTCCACAATATATCACTAGATGCCAAAGATAGTACTGTGCTGGATTCATTTGCGCCGTTTGCAATTAAACGATTGCATTTGTTAGCAGTATAGATTAGTAGCTTGGATCCAGTTTCTACATAGCTAACCAGCGTATCTCGAAATCCTTGCTCATCTTCCTTGATGTCGCAACCAGGTGAAGCAACCAGTTCTGTATCTTTAAGTAGCTTAGATGACTTCCATAACCGAAAGTTTCGACTGCGTGTATATACTCCCATATCCACAAACAAGCGTACGACTCCATCTTTTTCAAAAACAAATGCCGACATGAGATTCGCGTCTATTTCTGAAGGAGCATTTAAATCCAATCTAGACTGACAAGAATGTGCATTATGCTGCCTCAACTCGACAAACTGATTATACAGCACTGTCAAATCTGAAACCAAGTAGGATACAAATTGACCGACATCATAGTTGTTTCGAAATGCTATCCCAGGAGCTTTTAATATTAAATGTCTTGAAAACTTTGTATCTGTTGAAGAAGTCAAGTCAATGATGCGGATCTGAGAATATTCCACATCACATATTTTCTTAAAGCGCTCAATAACAAACTATCAAATCAGATTCATGCAGGTTAAAAAGGACTGGTGAATGTGCAGGCACAGTTCAAGTCCAAATTAGCTTACATTTTGGAATGCCTTGAATGCTGCATTGCCATCTAAACTGGGATTAAGCGATACAGTGTACTCGATATCAAAATACAAATGACAAGGAGCTCCCGTTTCAATCAGCTCGTAATAGTGTCGCTCCGCTCTAGTCATGTTTCTAAACAATATCATTAGTAACTCTCCATGAGTCATACAATCTCGACAAGTGTAGGATTAATCATACCTGTATCTATTCCAAAAGTCTGAAATGGAAGATACCAAGTATTTTCGCCGTCCTGGATTCTTTGGATCATCCTAATCATAGAACCAATACATAAGACTCGATACAATCAACTGATTGGGTTTATGATTTACCTCGAATGGAAAAACACAAAGTGGTAAATGTGGATGAAGAGCCTTGAATGCAAATGCATCATTCTGTGTCGGAAACACTTGCAATATCAATAATGAATGATGTGGATGTCGTTTATATTTTCTTAATGATGCTCTCGCAGCAGTCTCGGCAGTTCTAAAAGCAAGTAAACCAATGGTTGGCATCAGGTTTGTAATGGCAGACCATAATAAATGTAAAATCAAACCACTTACTCGCCAAAGAAAGTAGCTGAATTCAAAGTAGTGAGCTGCGACATGATGGATGAATCGGTAATTAAAGTTGCAGACTCGAAAATCCCTGTTTATTGAATGCATCTCCATTCTCATCCCTTTTGTCACCAACTGTGACGATCAAGCGTAGATTTTGAACGCATTCAACTTTTTAAACCGCTTGCTACACTTTAAATGAATACTATTTGCCAGATTTGAATGTCGGACAAGTTGATCTATGCAAAATTGCCGTACTTGTTGGGCATAGACTGGTGATATTAGATGTCGATCCCGTGATGGATAGTGCTGGTACGCTATCTATACCAAGTCGAGTAATTGAGCAGCTAGCGCACTCTGATCAGTTCAAATATTTGCTTCAGCTCTCCATACGAACATCCATATACTGAACCAACAAAGTATGTTCATGTAATTTCCAATTTTATTGAACAAAAGTCTAAATAGCAAAAAAGTACAAGGTTTTGGAAAATGTCAAAGTAGACTGCTCATGAAATGAAAAACATGGAAATCGCTTTCCATGAAATTGCAAGTAAGCTAGGAACCCGAGATAGACTGTCGATTAGCAATTATACTTTTAATAGTATTTAAGCATCGCAGTTTCGGCCAACATAGATGCAGCAAATGTCCCAGACGTCACAGCCAGCGGTTGCCGAAGGAGCGGGAGCATTAGTGGTGGTTTCGGGAACACCAGTGGTGATTACGGGAACCTCAGTGGTGGTGGTGATTACGGGAACCTCGGTAGTAGTAGTGGTGATTACGGGAACCTCAGTGGTGGTAGTGGTAGTAGTGGGGACCTCAGTGGTAGTAGTGGTGGTTGTGGGGACTTCAGTGGTGGTAGTAGTGGTGACTGAAGAATGGTTGGGACCAGGTTTAGTGGCAGATCCCATGGTGCAAGACTGAGTTTCGGGATCCCAGTTTTGTTGAATCATGAATCTACGTCCGTTCCATCCACAGTTGGAAGATGAACCGTTGGGCTCGGTCTTGGTAGTACCATAAGTGTATGCACACATGTCACCGTTTTCGGCTCCGGCTGCATCGTTCCAGGCGCGGATGTTGGAGGGATCGGATGCTGCTTCGGCAAGTTCGTGAGCCATCACAGAAAGCATGGCATCGGTAGAAGGGTCGTTATTGGGAGAAGAGGCACTATTGGTAGGTGGGGCACATCCAGCCATGCAGTCAGAGCTGAATTGACCAGAAAGAGCATAGTAGATCTCCTTGCCCTTGGCATCGTTGGCGGAATCGTGATAACCACAGTAGTCGCTGCAGAAGGATGAACCGAGTGCGATTTCAGTAACATCACTGGAAATCAACATGTAGTAAACGGCATTGGTGTCCTCGGGGAAAGTACCGGCAGTGATGTACTTGGAAACGAGATCAGGAATGGCAGTTCCATTGAGGGTTTTGCCAACAGAGTAGTTGTTATCAACGGATCCGGCGTAGTTGACCTGTCCATCAATATACACTTTAGGGGACGAGGCGGATTTCTGATAGTAGTACTTTTTCTCGGTAGTCCACCAGTCTGAAGCACCAATACCAGAAGTGAAATCCTTGACAAGCTTTTTCTGGCTGACAGTCCAGTTACCGTAGTAAATGACTACAATGATTACATGAATATTAGTCGATCGAAGCGCGTACTTTTAGATTGGGTTCAACTACTTACAGTAAACATTCAAGGGACCAGTGAGCAGAGGAGCACTCATATTGTAGGTGATGGTATCAGCAGCTCCGGCAAAGCGATGCTTTCCATACATAGGAGAAATCTTGTTCTTGTGATGAACAGATGGAGCAGCAATGCAGCCAGCAACGGCAAGAGAGGCAACAAGGAGTGTGGTAGCAATCATTTTAATTGTATGTATAGAGCAGCAAGTAGTCCTATGAATATAAATAGTCGAGTAGGTGCATGCCTTTTATACAAAACTCTACTACCTTTTAAAATGAGGCATTTAACTCTTGTCTTGGTTAGCTTCATATGCAAGCATGTGTAGCCAACTATTGCAACACATGAAAAGCTGCATGATGATTGAAAATACACGATGCAGAAAACGATTATTGGTTTCACGATGCAGTCGATGGGTTTTATTCACAGCATATTGCTATATAGTAGATATATTGATCATGTGGATGTAAACTATATATTTTAGGGTCAGTAGATTTGCTACTCCGGGTAATGCTGACCAACCGGCAATTTACAGCCGTATTCACGTAAAATGGAGTATCAAATAAGGGTACCAAGATACATAATGAACAGTCAGCCTCATGTAATGATGGTTCACACCACAATTACTGGGCAGCATTGTGTTTTTCGAATCATCGTGTAGAGGCAGTTTAGATGGTGTTTATCATTCAAACATGTCTTTTTACATACGAGTCCCGATCTTCTATAATATATTGGTATCAAATCATTTATTGATGGCTTGACAACCCTGTGGTCATCAACACATGGACAACAAGACGTTGTGAACACACTTGTGGACACACTTGTGAACACACTTGTGGATCTTTACCAAGCTCAAATATCTTGGCCAGCAATGCCAATGATCTTAATGTCAATAAAAGCCTGAACACATTCCTTGCCGATCTGCCTACCGCTCACAGGTGTCGAGCTTTGTATGTAATATTGACAATATCTAAAATTCAATGTCTGGATTGCAATGACCGAGTTTGGTATCAAACTTGACGATCACACAATGTATGGCTATGCAAACAAATCCAAAATGCAAGGTGTAAACCACAGTTCAAACCTAGTTTGTATCATATGATGGTCGGTGTGCTTAAAGACTGATCAAGGCTGTAATACTTCAGCCTTTTAGACAGTGGCATGCAACACTCCACCCCACAAAACAACTCTCTAATTAGACATGGTTTACCAACCATTCAACAAATATCGCGTGGATTGAAGTTGCATATTGTTCATTTTTGAACCCTGCATAAAATGGCTCGAGTATAATAAATAAGTTTGTGCGCCGAGCAATCCCAAACACTAGGCAAGAATTGAAGCTCTATAGAAAAGATCATGCAATGAATTTGTAATATGAAAGCGCAACGAATATTCAAGCATTGTCTATTCCCGAGCAATAGTTGCAAGAGGAGATGTTCCATTTACATAATACGGCTATAAATTGCCTAAAATGTGACTCGACACGCTTCATGCACACGGTCAACCCTCGTGATGGTAGAACACGGCATTTATTTTGCCTTTCCCGGCAATCCCTTAGAATCATGACAGTCCAAGCTATTTTTCATTATCCAAAGTGTGTAGGATATGCGCCTGCTCATTTCTTGAAGATATTGCTAAATGCCTTTAGAATTTTTGATGTGCTGCATGGCGTAGACCCAAATGGGTGTACATGCTGATCCAACCATGCACCATTCTATTTTCAATACCCATTTCTCATGACTGGCTTTGAATGCTACCATTTAGAAAACGGTTGTATTGGAATCAAACTATATAAATAAAAGCTCAACCCTTTGTCGCTCGTTGCAAAGGTGTGTAGCAGATAAATGCATACTATGTCGTCCATCAAAGTAGATTCGTTCTATATATTTGAATTGCACATAAATGATTCGCAATTTACTTTTCGATCGCATTAGCTATAGTAGTGGTGCTATCATAAGTACTTGATAATGTATGGGGTTTGATGATTCAGCAACTGCCGTGAATGAATCGTTTCTTCAAACAAGGCAATCACTGCAAGATACAAAAAAGGTGTTTTACGTATATACGGCTGCAGGCAGCATATTGCTTCTAATACACCACACATTGGTACTGCTGGCGTATACTCCAACACTTTAAACAAGACCAATCTGCCACAGCACGACAGTTGATTATAAAAACAAAACATTGGCTATACATTCTGTCACTGTAAATGGAATTTAAAACAAGATCGAGTCTCGCAAGACTAATGATCGCATGAAAAAATTTTAATTGCATTAATAATTATTACATAGCAAAGACTATGTTGACAGATCCAAAACATTCGAAGCAAAAACTAGTCTAATGATATGCTTAAATATGCGTTTAAAAAGAGAACCGACGAGATGTATATTGTGTCTGATTCCTGGGCAAAGTGGATTGAGATGTCCACAGTCCTGGTGAATCTTTGCTCACTCGACTCTTGGTTTTCGCATCTGCATCAGTTAGATCGGCCATTGCTGCGTGTTCGTTCGCAGACGACAAAACATTGGATTTGTCGTCGACAAGAGCAGAGGAATGCTCCTTAGATTGCTTCAACTGGTGTTCTTCCTGACGCAAAACTGGTGTTGTTGCTAGTGGCGAACTCCCTCTGTGCGAGTTTGCCAAAGCAGCCCTATGAGATGCATTTGAAAGATCCAAGTCTACATTACTATTTTGTCGTAAATTACTTGCTGCATATCTGGGAGATGAATGGTCAAACCCATTTTCTGGGGTTTCACCTATCCCACGAATGTCTATTTTTTTTTCAGGACGCTCATTGTGAGCCTGCTCCTGCCAAGAATGAGGTGCCCGCGGCTGATCATGGTAAAGATAGGGAGAGCTATACTGGGATGGACTTTGTTTGATTGAAGGCATTGGCGAATGATTGAGAGGCATTAAATTGCTCTCATTAGCATAGGATGCATGGGCGGGACGCTTTGCCTCTAGTCCTGCTTCACTTCTATAGTTGATCGGATGCACAGATTGTGAACCAGAAATATCATTCATCTGATCATGTGAGCGCTTGGTATCCATCATACGATTTGGATGATACTCGTTAGGATACGAGTTCATTCTGTCGTGGTTGATTCTGCGATGGAAGGACACAGACAATGGAGATGTAGTGACTTGGTTTTCAGACATGTGGCCACCTCCGCCCATTGAGGTTGGGTACATACGATAACCACCTTGACTTGCGGTGCGAATATGGTTTGCATTTCCAGCAGAAAGCCCTCTAGAGAAATTGTAGGCAGGCAGATTGGCAGATTGGGAAGATGGTGATCCCATAGGAATTCTGTAGTTTGCATTCATATTTTGTGGAGGTGCGTGATGCTGATAGTAATCACTGTGGTGACCCATGCCATACACATCTCCAGATGCAGATGCAGGTCGTTGGGGTGGATTCGGACGACCGTGTTGCTGATAGGGCAGTGCATACTGTGGGTGGTGAGGGTTATGTGATGGCTGATGACGCCAATGTTCAGGATGAACCAATGCAGATGGCTGTGGAGATCCAGAATATACGCTAGATGGGCGGCGTGACAGATGCTGATTGGATACGTGATGTATTGGTTTCTGCTGAAGATGAGGCGGAGGTGTGTGTGGGTACGACTGAGTGGGTGACTGACCAAACGAGTATGTACGTTGTGGAGATGCCTGCTGAAGGGCTTGTGGACGAAATCCTGATGTTTGATCGGGAGAGTGTGTCAATGACTGATGCTGTTGAGGATGCCCGTGGTCAAAAGCATGTCCTTGTGACCTTGTTCGACGAGTATGTTCCTCTTTTAAAGCCAGAAGCAAGGCAATAAACTGGCCATGAGTTCCTGTTGGCAGCAAGCGCTGCTTGCAATCCACAAACCGAGTGCGAAGCTCTTCCCCAATCCATACGGTCCATTTGCTTCCTTTTGGCGCCGTCTGTATAGCATCATGCGAGGCTACTGCACAGTCTTTTGGATTGAGGTGATTGGTGATGTCAAGCAAATGGCCAATATATAAATCATATGGTGTCATAAAACGGCTACGATATTCCTATTGTGCCAAAACCATGAAAAAAAGCAATCAGTCATTTGAAATCACAAAGCATTGATCAGCCAGTCAAAAATACTGGTGAACCAGTCAGGGTGGAGTTACTGGTGAATAGTCTTTTACGGCAATGGGTCAAGCACAACAAAGCAGTGCGCTGCCAAATGATTACACTGACAACGGTCTATACAGCCGTATTCAGTAAAACACTAAACAAGGGTGTCCGCATGCACAATAAACCATAATGGTTGATACCAACTGGCACGTCAATTCCCCTCCAACAAACCAAACATTACAAATAAACATTTAGTAGTTGGCATGCATAACTGCATTCCTGAAACGTACAGTTTTTTCAAACTAAAGCCAAGCGTATGTTTCAGAATGCAACAGGTGGAGCCTGAAAGCAATCGAGCCCAGTATCTGGATTACAGTGCATGGGCCTGGCTTTACTTTGATTATCGTAAAATGTATGGCTATACCAAAAGAGGAAAGGGAGGTTCACAACTAGAATTTGAGCATCATTCGATGGACATGGAAAGGATTGAAGAAGCAGCCAATTCCAACAGAAAAGCACAACAAATATTAAGCATTGTCGATTCAAAGCAATAGGAACAGTCACTAAGATAGTGCTCCATTTCACATGAATGTGGCCTGCCAGTTGATTGTGTCATACAAGTCTAATGTTTGAAAGGCTACTAATTTATGAGTTTCACCAGTGCGCTGGCTAGATCAAGTAGGATATTGAACCATTCATCCGCATTGATCGAGTCGTTCAATTTCAAATAATTGCGCACAAAAGTTATTGTTACACAAAGCGTCACCATTCCAAGCTTTAGTCATCAAATAAGCCCTGAATGTGCGGCTCATGACACAAAACATTGCAATATCAGCCATGTTATGGTTTCGTCACAGAATAGAGGACACAAGACCAAAAAGGGTGGTTTGTTGATAGGGACAGCTAAAGCAAATTACCAAGAATACATGGGCTAGGGATGAAGAAGCAACAAGTTAGGGGATGCAAAGCAGCTCCCTTGTTGGAATCTAATGAAATCGACGAATTCCATTGCAAATGAAAAAGCCGCAAGTGATATCAATCACAATATTTGCAGATAGTCCAAGGTATATTTGGATTATCGCTAAATGGCATGCAATCTTTTGCCATTCGAATTCACATGCTAAAGATAAAAGATGTCAAGGGGTAGAGAGAACAAATGGATCGTATTTTGAACAATACGACCATTGATAATGAACGAGCCCTTGAGAAAGTACAGCTCAGTCATGATCACATCATACTTACAATAGGGAGCTTGAGATTATGTCGATTTGATTTTGTTTTCGCATAGGTGCTGGCAAGACGAGCGGCAGTAGCAGGACCTTGGGACGTGGTAGTGGATGTTGGATTGGGTGTAGTAGCAGCAGAACCAAATTCAGAAAGCGAAATATCGCATTCCTCTCCAGTCTCTCCATGCTCTACCATTAAAGCCGAGGGAAGCAATTCAGGTTCAGTGCTTCTAGCTGTGAAAGTAGGACAATGAATGGCAGGTAGTTTCAGACTAGGATTCAAAATATTGCAATTCGTAGCTGGATTGGCTTGTTGGAGGGCCATGGTAGAGTTGTCTGTGTTGTTGTCAATTGTGGAAACTTTGCTAGTGCCTACTGCAACAGTCATGAACGCTGGCAAGTGAATAGTTCGTGATAATACAGGTGATGTTCCTTTGGTGGGATCAATAGAATCTGAGTTGGAAAGTGTGTTTTCGTTTTCGCTCAAAGAAGACGGGCAAGCCATTACATTCTCGTTATTGGTGTCAAACCCTGAAACAGTAGTGTGGATACCGCTGGTGCTTTGATACTTGACAACACAATCAGGATTACTCTGTGGAGGGTTTATGTGGACACCATCGCACACCGCACCACTATTATTTAACTCTTGACAGATTCTGGTGTCAGGCTGATTGTGAGAGTTATCCATGCTGGTGCTATTCCTGTCCTCAGTATGGACCACGTTGCCAGGGGTACCATGGCCATCCTCTGTAGTATGACCGTTGTGGTGCATGCCAGTAAAAATGAATGATTACTTCTAACGGTGCTATAGGGGATTTATTATAGACGATACTTTTGCTAAATTGAATGCTGGTGTTTGGGTTGAGTGCTGCTTTATCCAAATTTGAACGAGTCGATTACGAGTCCAGGCTAAATATGGGTGACAAAACAGACCTGTTTCAATTCTGCTGCTTGCTGTGTATGCCGAGTTTATATAATTGGGTTTTGTGTCGATATGTTTGTATTGTTTGCAAACCTCACAGCTTTAGCAATATAGGAGAAGTGTTTCAAATTTAGCCAAATCCATTCCAATGGTTTGGCTAAATTTGAAAAAAACAAAGCTTAGATGTGTGGTATTGGTAGCAACAGTGAACACTATTTGGGACCCAGGAATATGGTTTTTAAAACTCCACAATGGAAGTCTAAATCAGATCTCTGGAAAAGGCTGTTTGTTACATTGTTATAATCAACATGCTCAAGGTGTCAAGGCTGTCTAATGAATGGTGTGGAGTATGGCTAACATATGAAACCAAATAAGAATTGTGGTATGGCGACAATGGTCGCGATGGGCGCCTGCTTGTTACTAACATGTGTTTGAATGATCGAGCGGGTGCGATAAAGTTTGGCGGTCAAGCAGAGATCGAGAGACCAATGATTTGTTGGCAGAGGTGTGTATACTCTTTGTCAATAGTGTGGCACAGAAGCTGTGGATGCAATGGTTTCCGCTTGATTGGAGAAAGTGCAGTGTTGAAATAATGCAAGTTTTTTAAGCATATGTGAGGAAATGATGTTATTTTTATTACATTTACAGTGGTATATCATAAACAGGTTATGTGCAAGTCCAGTGATTCACCCCATTGTTATACTGTCCAGATTGAATCTATAAAGTACAAGATGTATTGGTACAGCATAATATAGTCGGTAAGAGCTTTGGATAGGAAAACGAAAGGACCGATGAAAAAGTCTGTGCTTCAGTCTGTAGAAACATGGAAAGCAAAACATCAGTCTTGTTGAATACTTGGCAAAAGGTTGATCCAAGGTCAGGGGTATTTGATCCAAATAGTTCAAATAAACAGATGCTATAGCAGAAACACACGCCTGGATTATAGATGTCAGGCAATAATTGTGTGCTCAATCAATATACGTTTTTTGGTACTGATATAGCAAAGTAGACCATTTGATTTATAACCAGTATGATCAAAAGCAACTCAAATGTGGCCAACTATGCTTGTGTAGACAGCCATACATCGAATATGCAGAATGACAAACCAAATGAAAAATTGAGTGGCGAATTGCTCAGTATAGCCAGAGTTGAACAAGCAATGCGTGGATGGTCTAGTGATGGTAATGCGATTTCAGTTCACCGCCATATTCACGTAAAACACTGCACCAAATAAAAATCCAAAGCATAATAAGCAGTCTTGTAAAATGGCTGGTATCGGTTTACTGAGAAATATTGTTTTTTGAACTTTTTGAACTTGACTAGTCTTTTAGTGATTGACAGGAAATCAATCGTTTCATTTCTGATGTGTAATATTTGAAGTTTTTAACTAGAACACAAACGTATCTGATATGAAATACAGCAGAGTTGTATGAATACAGTCATAAGAATGCTAATCAGAGTCACGTGGATATGCATTTGGCTTTTGAGTATTTCAACAATTTTTTAATTTCAAGTTTGAATTCAGCTGTAACCAACTGCCCGACACTCACTATGGGACTGGCAGAGCCGAGAACAAAGCAGCGCATTGGAGTAGATCCACAAAACAAGCAATGGAAAGATGGTTAGTTCAATTGGTTGTGTTTTAGTATTGCTGTTCGACAACTGCAGAACACATGCTTTAAACTCGAGCTGTTTGCAATCACATTGATGTGCAGTACTAATCCATCACACATTATGATTAGACAGCAACAAACTTTGTCTAAAAATGATGGAAAAGATGGGTTGGTCAGAAGGCAAAGGACTGGGAAGGAATGAGGATGGTCGAACAGACAATATCAAGGTCGTTGTCAAGTCCAATAATCATGGTATCGGTACAGAAAAACGATCGTCGGATAACTGGCTTGAAAATTCATCTGCATTTGACGCTCTTTTATCATCGCTTGGATCTACTAATGAAACCACTGACCAACAACAGACAACCAAGGTGGATGAAACCCTGATTGCAGTAGAGCTGAAATCAGCTGCACTTCCACAATTTGGCCGCTTATAGTGGGTATTTTAATACTTGAAACGTATTCATGTGCTCAATCTATCGTCTCGATATGTATTTGGAATATTATTTTAATCACATTTTTATCTACCCCATTTAAATGACAATGGCTGAATAGTCACCGCAAAAAGTTTATCCGAAACAAGCAAGTTAGCAACTATGATGCTGCCAATCTATCAGAGATTCTTGGACAAAAGCCAACCAAGAAGCTGCCATTGATCTCATGCCATTCAGATTCTAAAATCTCGTCAGATGTGGCAACTAAACAAGTGCCGTGTCATCTCGTGGATGCTATCGAGACTGTTACTGTCAGTAATTTGTCTGTGCAAGAATATTTTGCTCAAAGGATGGCGTTGTTGAAGCAAGCTGCATTGACTAAAACTACGACTGAGCATCCTTCATTCAAGCGCAAACACGATGATGATGAAGACAAGAACGATCAGCAATCTAAACTTGATGATGATAGTGTAAAAGCCGAGCCCAACAGCGACTCGGTAGAATCTAATGATGATATTGCAGATTCATCTGCCGCTAAAAAATCCAAGAAAGAATCCAAGACCAAGAAAAAGTCTAAAAATAAGAAGGAATCCAAAAGTAAAAAACACGAATCCAAGAACAAGAAGGCTCGAAAGTTGAAGGATTAGATTGCCTTGCTAATTGTTGGATATCTACAATGCATATATGCGAATGGCTAGATCTAGGATGACTAGCGCTTTTACTAGTTTAGCGACTTGAAAAGTGTATTTTGGAGTTATTGTGCATACAGTTTAGTGATCTCACTATATAATGAATTGGTCTATTCTTTACTGATTTCAACTATAATACCCAAGCATGTGTTGCTCAGCATAGAGAATATGGGATGATCGAGGTTGTGGTGGTCATCTTGTATTATCACTTCAACCTCAATATTCAAACCTCAATGTCAACCACTATCGCTCCACTGCGGGCGTTTGAGGAGTGGGAAGCACAGTGCAGTTTGTCAGACAAGGAGTTGGAGTGTATTGCCTTGCTAAAGGAATTGTCGGCCGAGTTGCCCATCCCTGTAGAGGTACTCATGAATATGATGATTGCAGCAGGAACCAACCAGAGTGGATCTGTGATGACTTTGGTCATCTGAAGAGTTGCATTGATGTTCTTTGTAATGGGCCATGACACTGAACTACGATGTGTTCTATACTGTATTAGCTTGCGACACTCAGTCCTCATGGACTAGATGGGGAGGATAATAGTCGAGATGGACTAGATCACAGTGGTAATATATCGTCGTTGGGGTATCTCAATGGACAGTCTGTAGGGTCGACACCAGCAACTGTTCAGTACGCTGTAGTCAGTAATGGGGAGCAGAAACCAACTGCTAATGAGCCATCTTCTGAGTTGACTATTGCAGAAACCATTGAAACCACTCAGCAGTTTTTGACTTGGTTTGCCAAGGTGGAAGAGCACATGGAACGAGGCCAAGAAGATGTTTACAGGCAAGTCTAATCGTCCTATTGGCTCGATTGTGTTGTCCAATTGCTAGACTAGCATGTCGACCATTCCAAATATCTTCAATCTACATTTGTTTTACTGTCGTGTATTTACATTGCAATGCACTTAGAGCTTGTCTAGCCACTGTGCGATGCTACCGAGATGCCACGGCCAATATCTTGCAAAAAACAAATGAAACGAATGACTTGCTCGACAAGCTGGAAGTCAATTATAATTTTATCGAAGACAAGACCAAGGGGATGCAGATTGCCTGTGAAACCCTTCTTGATGAGCAGGTATTAAGCTCAAAACTCTATCGTGTTGATTCCACAGCATCCGTATCAGATCCCATTACAACTGCATAGTATTTACATTTACTGCGTTATTTCAATAGACACATTTAATCAGCGTGGCAGAGGAGTTGTCTGCCAAATTAACTTACTTTAATGAGTTGGAACCCATCACTCGAATGCTGAATGCTCCTGGCGAAGCCATTGTTCTTGATGAAAAGTTTGGCCCAATGATGCAAAAACTCGATCAGTGCTTGTCGTTTGTGATGCAACATGTAAGACTATTTGATTTCAATTTAGTCTTGTATCAAAGTAGCAGACCGACCTAAAGTTCTCGTCTGTAACGCTGGGTTTAATTTGCCTCAATCTCAATACAATAGTCACATTACAAGGATGCCGAAATTTACCGAATGAGATATCGGCAGTGCATGACTCGAAGTATTACTCTCGTTAAAATGCATTTTGTTGATTTGATTCGTGGGCTGCAGCAGGAAATTCAAGAAAAGTTAGTAGGCAGGGTAAGTAGCTTGCACGCTACTGTTTACAACCATCGAGTCAATGATTGATTTTAATCCTGTTTCTAGCAAACACACGAGCCGCTTCCAGCAAACATGCAGCTTACATTATTTTACGTCAAGTTCAGAACATTGGCATCAAAAACCAAGCATCTGCTGGAAGAGATCGAGGAACGCTGTAACGGGCATCCAGAGTAAGCACTGAGTGTGTTGAATCATATTTTTGACTTAATTATCAAGTAATTTGAGCACCTAATTAGTCATTACAAAATCATTCATATAGATATTTGGCATTGCTTCGCGATTGTTTCACATCTTATTTCGTTGTTCGGCGTGCATTGCTTACTCCGTTTATTACCAATCATATGACAAACTTGAGTTCTACTTCTTCTGGACTTTTAGACTTTGTAAGATTGATGATGGTTTTATTTTCAATCAAGTGTTGTTTTAAAAACGATGTTCAAGTACATTCATGCATTTTATATATTTTAGACGGCAAATGGATGTGCATACATGATTAGGCTTTGTGCTGATGAATATCAGTTGTTTCGACAATTCTTTAATCTTGGAGAAGATAGCGTCATGTGAGTAAATCTTACCAACCTACATCAAATTAGATTGCCTTGTGATCTAACCATTCAATGCATGATATAGCGAGTATCTAGAGTCTATCTCTACGCGACTTTACGAACACTTGCGACCACTGATTATTCGTGAAACAAAGCTTGACACACTGTCAGAGATGTGCCAATCTTTGCAGAGCTATGTTCAAACGCTTGATCCAAAGCATGATTCAGAAACCGATGCTTCTGGACATTTCCTCGACTCTTCAGAAACAAACTCTGCTCCTGTTCGTTATACTGTCCAGAAAATACTGGAAGATGCTCAGCAACGTTTTGCGTTTCGTGCTGAAATGTTTATCAAGCAAGAGTTGCAGCAATTTAAACCTCGTGAAGCTGAGCTTCGAGTACTTGCTCGCGGTCGTGGATGTAAGTTTGTAAAATTCCATGTTTAGATTTGCTGACACACTACGTGTATATTGGAAAATGTGTTGGCTAAAACGTTTAAATTTTTTGTTGCTTAGTGCCTCAGCCTGCCAATATCAACCTTAGTGTCGGTGTTGTTCCAGTGCTTACTGATTCGATAGAGCGGTCAGATACTAGAATGTCTATAGGACAAGATTCCAAGTATGTTAATCTTTTAGGTGCACCTCTGTCTGAAAATCTTGAAGCAGCGTTAGAGCCCGTGGGATCTACAGCTCCTGGATCATTTGTGATTGGGAAGTTTGCGTATGGTGGTGGTGAATGGTATCCCACACTTCAACGAACTCTCTATGTTCTTGGACGTCTTTACGGATCGGTTCCAGTACGTTGGTTTGAGATATGCTTTTAATATCGATGTCCTTTATTTGCCACTTTGTACTGATCCTTACATGTAGGGTCCTGTTTTTGAAGATCTTGCTCAGGAGGCTGTGGATTCTTGTCGTCAAACCCTCGTTGCAGCTACACAAATTCTATCTGAAAAAGAGGTATAGTTTCATTTTTATTGAGTTTTATATCGATCTTGTGAATCAGATTTGAGTATTGTGACTTTTGGTTGACTGTCACTTTTTAATATGTCTAATACTCTTACATTGAAATGTTGAATTTTATAGTCAAAAATTGATGGTCAATTATTTTTGATCAAAAACTTGCTGATGTTGCGCGAACAAATATCTACTTTTGATGCTCGGTTCATTCGCAAAGAGGACTCGGTCAATTTTTTAGATATGGTGGAAGCATTTAAAGATGTAGTTCGAAACAGTCTACACGTCAGTGCATTATCTACTATTGGCGATGCAATTATGGTTGCAAGTGCCACCAAAGTTGTTCAAAGCTATGCTGATGCCAAAGACGTAAGTTGTCAAATTAGTTTCTAGACTTGCTACAGTGAGATACTACGAGGATTGTATAAAAGTGGAGTATGTTGATAGTTTTCATGAATTGCTTGTAGATTTTGGATAAAGAGCTTAGAAGGGTTTGCGAGGATTTGATTTTGGAGACAGCCAAGAGCGCAGTAGAGCCAGTGTCATCCTTTATGCTCAAGGTCGGTACTATAGATTGCAAAATTAACTTGTGTAATGAGCTAGTTTTACTAGCATTTGATTTTTATCACTAATATTTGATGATCTGAATAGGTTGCTGCATTTCGACTTCGAAATGATGCACGACCTGCATCAAGTCGTGATTACCTCAGAAACCAGAGTTTTGCACAACCAAGTATGTCGATAAACCAGCGATTTGGTTTTAACCACTTGACTGATGTTTTATTTTTGATTGAATATGTATATTGATAGATCAAATTGGAGTTATACATGATGCTTTCAAGGACACTGTTCAACGAAGATTGACGTTTACTGTTTCGCGTATTGCCGACTATCTTGGTGATAAAAAGACGCAGGGTGTACTGATTCGGATCATTCGGGTAAGTTGGATTCCTTGTGTAGACTATATTAAATGTATCTACAATCTCGTGTTTTGACTAGTCTATATACCTAAACTACAAATAGGGCAATATTATTGATACCTATCAATCGTTTGTCGATATTGTTCAAGTAGAATATGATGCAGCAACAAACTCGCATATTACTTCAGTCGCTGATATGGCAGTGCATATTGATTCTGCATGTGAACAAGGATTGCCAAATATACTGTCCAATGCATCTGACGAGCCTCGTGCAGTTGCAGCTCTTCCGAATGCATCTAAACCAGAAATAAGTCAATCCGACAACACTGAAAAGCCAAAATCAAACTAAATATAGTGATAATGAAAACTTTATATCCGTACATTGCAGATACGCTAGTGAAGTGATGGTTAAATAAAAGACTGAATAGATTCGAGTTGCACCAATGAAACGGAAAGCGGACAAGTTGACAGATGCGAATACACCAGCGACTCCTGAAGCCAATACATGTGCCAAACATGGACTAGATGTTGACATGATACACTCTCTAGTATGTAGATATTGGACTGACATTCCACTGGCTCAATCTATTCGAATCCGTAATAATCCGTAATAATCCGAATGCATTGAATGGAAGATCCTTCAGTTTTGTAGCAGCAATCAAACTGCAAGTCTTGTTGCACAGATCGAATTAGAAAATGCATATCAACAGGCACTATTAGAAAAGGCAAGACTGCAGTGATTGTTTCTGTCATGTAAAGCAAGCCATTGCTCATCCAATCCAACATAGAATACCCATTTTATACATCATGTCGGAATGAATATAGCAGCAGAGTTGCATAAAGACAAGCTCAATTCTGCTGGACTGCATTTACTGAATTGTCTATGTATGACCCATCGACTCCTCAAATGCTTGAGAAAACAGACTCAAGTTCCAACTGGTTTGCTCCAGTCTGCAGCACAAGAACTTGGGCTTTGCAACAATTTGTTTCTGACTGCTCTTTGGCAGGCATCTAATCGGAATGATGAAATGATAGTATTTCATGCAGTCGTTGCTTTACTTGATGTATTCAAAACTTGTCATCGGTTGGAATGTCGCAGTATTATACTAGAGCCTTTGTGGCTAGATCGTTGCTTATCAAAGGTAATCTTGACTTTTGATCAGTAAAGCTTATTTCATTCTATATCCCAATGTAGTGGGCTTGATCTTGTAACTAATCGTTTGTTTTAGGCAGAAACAATCTTGACCACTACTGCAAGTATTGCTTTACAGAGAAAAACTTTGCATTTATTGAACTACATTGCTATAAAATCGATGGATTTTGATTCTGTGCTGGTAATTCTTTCTTGGTGTATTATGAAATGCCAATCTACTCGAATTTAATCGTGCCATTTTATCCTTTTGTTGGTAAATGGTTTCATCTCTGTAAAAGTCTGGATATAGTGATAGGATTTCTACCATCATTGCATCATTCGTACTCAAAACTTATTCATCCAAAAAAGACGTATCTAAATGGTGGGATTCCATACATCATCCTTCATTCACCGAGTTTTACTTTCCAAAAAATCAATCCCTCGATCGACAATCTCTCAAGCTTATTATTCGAATATGTATATCGGTAGTCTCGAGTCCAATGATGCTTTCTTCAAAAGAGCTGAGCAACACATTTCTCGAAAAAATGAATGATTTACTTGTGCATATATACGGTATATATGCTCATCTCAACACACATATGGTCAATGATGTCTTGTGACTAATATAAATGCATTTATTTTGACTATTTTAGGATCTGACTATGAATGTGTTTCTGACCAACTGTTTAAGCTTTTTAGCGACCACGACTCTGATCTTGTCTGGCTTTTGGAACGGGTGCTTGCAATGCAAGTATCGGATGATTATGCCAAGTTTAGAAACCACCTGAAAGGATCATTAAACAGCATCAAAGGCGTGCAATCAGTGTTGGACACATGTGCTCCATCAGCCATGTTTTTAAAACTGATGGAAATGTGGGGGTTTGATCACCAATGCCTCTTGGATCTGGTCATTTCAGATGATACATGCTTTTATAATTATCTTTCAGAGTATCTGCATTTTATTGCACACAATCCATGGAACTTGGCTTTAGAATGCAAGGCAATAACTGCCAAAATTTTCATCAAGGATCTTGAAGATGGTCATGCTGATGATGACAGCAATGAACCAACAGACTACTATTCTTCCACAATATCTACACTTGATGACCTGCTCGAATCGATAAACGCATTGATTTCCAAAAAACTAATCTCAAGTAATGTATCCAGTCTAATACAGGCTTTGTGCCAGTTTAGAGTATCTCAAAATCAAATAAACGAGCTTGTTGATGAGTGAATCCTGCAAAAATATGTATGTTTAATGAAACCAAAAATGCAGAAATGAAAAAAAGCTCACTTGGTGAGATGCAATCAGTCGTTGTTGCCAATTTTAAGAGAAGTGCGACTGCCTCTCATTTCCTTCAATGCCTTGGTTCGTGCTTTGCCAATAATGGATTGAAACAAACGTCGATCTGTTGATGTTACTTTTCCCATGGTCGGTCCATCAAATGAAAGGTGTAGAATTTGCTGTACGGTCTGGTTTTCACTCAAATGCACACTAAATCCCTCGCCAATGGCATCTCGCAAGGCATTGAGTCGTCTAATTTTGATCCATGAATTGCATTCCAGTGTCTCCTGCTTGATCTTGAGTTTCACCAGTGGAGTTGTATTGCTCTGTTGAAAAATAAATCAAACGTTTAAATCAAAAACAATGTGATTCAACACCTGTTGATTGATAGTCCAGTATCGGCAAAAACATTAAATGTGTGCTTTACCTCGACAGTGTTTAGAATATCCCGAAAAGCTGATTTTTGAACCGATCGCTCTTTTTTTGCTCGGTGTCGCTGGCTATCTATTGTAAAATCATTGTATGAGAATCATATCTGTACATATACTATCCCAAGTATTGTTTAATAAAACTAAATACCTTGTGAGAGGAATCTAAGCTGCTGAAGAAGCTCATTCTTGCTTTCATAGTAGGGCTCTGTTTTTGGTGCCTCGTCCTAGTATATTAAAAACCTCGTGTCAGTAATATGCAAAATGAATCTTGGAAAAATATCAAATCCATACCTCTTCTGCAGTAGCCATCCGATCTTCAATAACAATGGCAATGTTTTCACCTGCAGCAATGCGCACATCCACATCATCTGATTCAAGTAACTCTACATGTGCATCTAAAATTCTAAAATAAAATACAAGTGGCAGATTGGTAAATCAACCATGCAAGTCTGAGCAAATACATTTGATTGTTACTAACCGATTATAGCCTTCTTGCCCTTGTCGAGTAGAAGCCGATGGATACAGTAATCCATAGGCTTCTACCGCAGCATGAATCACAATTTCTTCTTCGTCATGAGCTGAGATTACATCTTCAAAATAGTCTAGCAGCTCCCATGTAGCAGAATCTCCCATATCCTCAATTAACGAGATAATGGCAAGCGCGATAATACTCTGGTATATTGGAGTTGTACAACAGTTGAAAATATAGCCATGACAAATTAAACTCGAGTAAAACAAAGCTAAAGTTGGTAAATACATGTTCAACTTACAGATGGCTTGATTTCACTAGACCCATCTCGAATACCATCTTGCAATATTTTGATTACATCGTCATAAAAGGCTGGTTGGCTTCCTCCAGAAATCCATAGCAAAGATAAAACTAATCCACATAGGAATAGGCCAATTGGTATACAGATTAGATATAACAAAGTACAAGTTGGATTAGATATGCACATACCTCTATTGGCAAGAATGCCTTCGGGCCCATCGCGACGGGCACATCGCTTGACAGGATCAATCCAAGAACTCATTTTGCCATCTAAAAGGTCATGTCTGTATTTGTTTGATAGTCCCTTGATGATCTGGTTTAATGCCGTTTCTCTTACACTGCATCCAGAGTTTGAAATAATAGATGACCAGTCCAATGTACATGGTTTAGATATAGAAGCCCGTCATGATAGAAATGAATTAACCCAATTGAACGGATGATCCATATCTATTCTCCAACAGCCTAGAGCAATACACACCTTGCTCTCTTTTCCCCCAAGTCTTCAAATGCCTTCAAGAATGTACTGTCAGTGCACTCTTCCCCAAAACTAAAGGGCTCATCCCGCAAGGACTGCTGAGAGCCACCTCGGGTCATGCTGGGGGAAGTATCCTGACTTGGATGAGAGCCAATAGAGTCCATAGTAGCATGGCTTATCTCTGAATGACCATCTTCCGAGTCAGAGTCACTCCTTTTGTTCTGAGAAGCAAATGATGATGTCTTGCTTGTCTTCCTGCCTTTATTTCCTGACCGACCCATCTGCTCACTTACAACTGTACCCACGTAAAATAAAACACTTGTATTTATCTTGCAGTAACTGTTCTGCTTTGGATAATCAATGCTTGATAAAGTTGCGTTTTTCCACTACACATCAACTTTATCAATATACATTGTTAATCCTTCAATAAACACAACGTTTGTCGTATGATGTACACAATCAAACCATCGGTTTGAACTGAAGTAATCTCATCATTTGACATGGCCATACATTGTACAATGACCAAATTGATGCATTGTAATCCAAATATTGGTTTGATTGTTGCCAAATCTATACAAACTTTGTATTTTAATCAGATACATTCGCGCTCCAGTTCAACATATTTTAGGGATGCAACTCTACATGCCAATCACCAAACAGTATCAATCAACTAAACAGTGTATATGGCACGATGCCATCTCGTTTCTATAAACTAAATATATACAGCACTTGCTTCTTGTTTTTTAATTTTACCGAAAAACTTGTGCAATAATTTTCCACTCTAAAGGGTTTTCAGATGCATATCGCAAAACGTATCAAATCATATTAAATTTTAATATTTTATAATCTACGTAGCCCAACAAATCCATGACCTAGCGACACTTGCTTACGAACGCCGTGGTAGTGAATCGACAAAGTGCTTTTGGCGGGTAATGCTAGGAAATCCTATATTCAAAATTGTACTCGAATTAATTATCGATTGATATCAACACTTGATATTGAATTTCACTGTTGATCACTAGTTGTATCATTACGTCAACAACCTATTTACTTGATGAAAAGCTTACCACAAGACTAATACCAGTCACTGTTCCAGGCTCTAATTTACCGTTGCCATCTACAACAAATCCAGATGAATGGTGTACAACATATGAGGGGGAGTTAATCGCTGAAAGAACTGATTCTCCGTTCACTACCAATTGTATGGAGGGTTTAGATTTTGTGAATATTGCCAATGTAATTTCGTATAGACCAGCATCTGTTATCCGCAATTGAACCTGATCTTGACTCCATTTGAAATTTTCTGGTTCTGTATAAAATAAACGCCAAGCTTAGTGCAAATAAAAAGTAGTATAGATTACAATGTTTTTAATCACTTGACCCACCTGTATTGACAGTTTGGCAGTTCCATGGGATACCACTACCCATTTTCAACGATCCGCAATTCCATAACCATTGAGCACATCTGTAAAATGGCTGAGATACCTGCATAGAAAATAGAGATTTGCATTCGCTAAGATCTGAACAAAGTAGAAAAAGCTTTTCATCAAACTCTCGTGTCAGTCGTTTTGATATATTGTGGATTTCCTCATATTCATCATGGTTTTGCTCCATCAATTTCAATTTGTCGTTCCACACAATCTCGACATGATTTCTTGCCAATTCTGCCATCTGCTCTTTTATGAGTGTATCCTGCTTGGTTTGAAATGGTCGATTCTCATCTATAAATGTTTTGATTTGTTTTTTGGTCCATGCCTTGATATCATGTCGTAACTTGCTTTCTACTTGCACTATTGATTTTTCTAATGTCATGGCTGCTGATGCTGCGCTGTTTACCGTTGATAGTGCGTCAAAAATTTCTTGTTTGATTTTTGCTTGCTTGGTATCAATACTATTGGTGATGGAGATTTTATGATCCTGTAGCATTAGATTAACAATCTTTTGAATGGTTTCTTCTGTATGTTTTGATTCTAAATATGACGAGTTTCCAATCTGTTTTTGATTGTGCGAGCAAGATGGGATAGCAATTATTTTTTGGTTCAATATTTGAAGTTCTTTGTGCACAGCAATAAGCTTGCCATCAACGATTCGTTTCACTCCAGAATTTTTTAATCTTTTTTCTGACACTCTTTTGAGTTCGTCGCGTGTTGCAATATGGCGAGAGAGTTCTTCCAATACTGATATGTCGACTTTTCTTGCCAACTTTTTTTGTAACTGACGCACTACTTTTACTAGACGATTGACATTGACTGTATGCGAAAGTGTGTTGACACTTTGAATATTTTCTTTGACGTTATTTTGTTGTGACTGGATAGATATGGGCTGCGGTGAAGGGTTAGGGTGGTTGAGCAACTCAGTGTTTGTTGATCCAAGAAAAGTTTGTGTTTTCGCTAAATCAATAACTGGGTTTGATGTAGTGATATTATTAGCCGAGTTATTGATCAAGTCCCGCAGCTCAAAAACTAAAAATTGTAGCTTTTCATGATCAATGCCAAGTTTTTTGATTTGCTCCACGCACTCAGTATATTGTACCTTTTCTTTTTCATTATTCATAACAGTTACTAAAGTTGGTTGATCCACAATTTGATGTGCAGATGGTGTTTGATGTGAATCGGGTTCTGTTTTACTTGTGACAGTTGGAGATGCGTTGGATAAAACGTGTTGGTTTTTGTGCTCAGAAAGTCCTTTGGCTAAACTGTTTCGTTGATAGGTTTGCAGATGAACTGGCCTATATATCGCGTTGTTTTTTTTATGAACGTTATTAGATACAATGAGTTTTTCCAATTGCTCTATTTTGGATATAATGACAGATATTGTGTCTTTGCCAACCTCACGATCAGCACCAGATGAATTTGAAAGTCCCCGAAGTTCAGGTACGATTTGAACAACAATTGGCTGATCACCTTGGTATTCGTTTTTGAAGCAAGTGTCTGGTACACATTCATAAGGTGTATTCCTTGAACAAGAGTTACGCTGACTGGACGAGTTGTGATATGCAGTATAGATAGTGGCTGGGCGTTTTGGGGATACCTTTTCTATAATACTATGGCGAAGTGATTCAAGCTGGGTAAGTGCTGCATCAATGGGCGTTGTATGTGGTGTTGTCGCGGTACTCAAATGATGCTTGTGATGACTGGTAGCATTTTCCTTTTTGGATAAAAGGGTTTCAAGTAATGAAACTCGAGTTTCAAGATCTTTTTTGATTTGTACTTTCTTGCTGAGAGATGGGGTGATGCGTTCATTTTCAACGATAGGAGACTGAAGTGGATGCTCTAAAATACTATTAGACTGATGTGAAGTGGGGAGGGATATACCATCTTGATTTGTTGGTTGTAAGACATTATCGATTTGAGTTTCAACTTTGGCTGTTTGGATTTGGTTTACAGTAAAATCGTTTGATAAACTGGTCAGAGTTTCAGATTCAATACGGGGTGGTTCATAGGGTTGTGTTTGCGTCACTGCATTAACGAGATTAATGACCTTATTTTCAAGCACTGGATGATCAGTACATGCAAAGGTTTCTAAAATATGAGCATCAGTGTTACTAGGCTTTACTTGATTAGTATCTGGAATCAAGCTTGACTGTGGTGGCTCATTACGCGATATATTAGATTGCGACTGCAAATTTTGTAAACTAGCTTCCATACTCTGCATTCTTGATAATATAGAATTCATGCGCTCTTCAAATGCATTTTGCATAGCTTCTGACATGCTAGTTTCGATATGCGTCATGGGCATTTTTACGATTGCTGCTGATTTAGATGTATCAGAGGAGCTTGATGTGGACGATATGGCGCAATTTGCAGCATCTGTAGTGATGGATACAGTGTTTCCGCTAGCGCTTGGAATACTACCGCGCAGACTAGATGAACTTTGAATTGCATCAATTTCTGCTACAGCGAATTGAAGTGCCCTTATTGCACGATCGTGCTCCTTTAATGCAACAAGAACATGCTGAATCTCTTTGGTTTCTGGAGACATTACTGGAGACATTACTGTAGATGCTCGAGGTGTTTTTGTACTTACAGAAAGCGGCGAAGCCAAGTTGCTTGAATCAATTGAGATACCAAGCAATGGCTTATTTTGGCTTGCTCTCAATATAGACTGGTTATCTGGTGCATCATTTGAATTTTGACATAAAGATGTCCTGATATTTTCCTCTGTAGAATGCAGTTCTTCTATTAGGTCATCTTTCTTGAGAGTTGATGTATTTACTATATTTTCAGTCGTGGAAATTTTTGGAGAAACTGAAGCTTGAGATTTGGATACAGATTGGAGCGGACGGTTTTGCTTTGGCATTGAAAATGCCGTTGCTTTGGATGCCAATCTCGAAAAATTTGTAGCAGCGATAGATTTGCTTGGCGATGCAGGATATAGTGGCCTAGAAGTCGCACTAAGAGTAATACTTGGTGAAGAAGATTGGCCTTTACTTGTTTGTGGCATTGTACCAGCAATAAATATGGGTGTGGGTAGTTTGGTTTGTATTTTTGTATTGGATGCTTGCTGAGCTGTAGATGTCAAGATTGTCACCCGCTTGTGGGTTGAACTCCTTTGCGCTGTAAAATCACCATCATCTGAGGGTTTCACGACATCAGATCCTGCTTGAACAGTTTTCACATTTGGAGGGATTATCTGCCGAATAAATGGAACAGGATCATCTACTAATGTCTGAGTCGGATCACTTGTACTTGTCTTTAAAGCATTATTGGCATCTTGTGAAGGATGCGCAGGTAATGCAACGACAGACCTACGGGATGCATTCACGCTATTATAATCATTGGGTTCTGCTTCCTCTTCTGATATATGAGCGTCAATGATGCTTTTAACCCATTTCTCGCTACCAGCTTTTTTGTCTGCACCAGTCTGACCTTCTAAATTCATATCTAGCGACTGAGTTTGATAACTATATCCACTTGCCTCATCGTCAGTTGAAGTCACGTATTGACTATTAAATGAAATCTGTGATATGCCAGTAAGGGATGCAGTATCAGAGAGAAACGGTGCTGCGCTCTTTAAAAAAATATCGTTTTGGAGAGGCGATAGTGCTCTAGGGGTTTGCTGTAGAGTTGCTGGTAATACTTCTGATGGTGTAGCCTGTAGCTGAAGATGGTCTTGTTGGGTATCTAGCAATTCATGAACACGTTCCATTTGAATCATCATTCGCGTTTGAACAGTGCAAGTTTCGTTACAGCTAGCGACAATGGAGAGATAAAATGAAAACTGTCTGCAGCCATCATTTTCAGTGTGTATCATGTGTTTGAAAAGTACTCGCGTACATTTCATTCAACTACACTTTTGTGCATGTTGGGTTTAGTTGTTACCTGTGCGACAACCATACCAAATCCACAGTGCTCACTTGGAGATTGGGAAAAACTAGGTTTACAATATGGGCTGTCTTTTTGATGTTGTTTTGCAAATATCCATAGATTGTTCATCTGCTGATCCAAATGGCAGAAACATCCATCAATCGTGTTTCCTGTGTTGTGGCAACAATCCGAGTTGTTGATACGACCAGTTTCTGAACAGCTTGCTGTTCTTTTTGATTCAATATAAAACATCACTCGTTTGTTTTGACACAAACTTTTGCGATCCATTTATAGAGTCTATGCTAACCTAAAACAATCGTGTAGTTTTACAACGGAAAGTCCATGTTTTGAAATGCAGCAGCCTGTTTGTTACCATCTAACTGGTTTCTATGTAATCAAAAATATATTTTCCCTTTCGCTCTCTCTCTTTTGTCGATATCCATGAGCGACTCAAATTCACAATTGATACGAATTATTTCATGAGATTGACTGTTTATTATACTGACTCTCTTATGGGTGTTTCATTTCCATGAATACAGCCGTAAGAGCAAACGTGGTCTAAACCCAAGTGCTATTGCCAATGTCAACAATAAAATGCAACAGGGGAGTGGTAATCTCGCACAACTTACCAGACCAGTTTAAAACACAATGGCAAGCAAGTTCTAATATATCAAATTTAGCTGAAGTTTCCTGGTTGGTTTCGCTTGTAATGCAGTAAATAAAGGTGGTATGTTGGATATGCAAATCATATATAGTCGTATTTAGCTTATATACCCATATTTTAATTCTGAGTGACAAGCAAGCTATCAATCTACAAAATAGTGAATGCCACACAGATGAGTAGCCAAATCATCAAGCATTTGCAAAAAGTAATTTAAGAAATCGTGATATCAACATTTCAATAATCAGCACAACTATCTCACATGTGTTAGCAATAAATCATTGTGTTTCAAATATCGCTTTGCCTGGTCAACTAGCCATTTTATGCGACTCTGTCGCTTAGCAGGCGCACAACAGTGAGCTTCCAGTCGAATGAATCTACAATAGAAAATACAACATCAAGACAAGTCAGTTACACCAAGAGTTTCGTCAAACTCGATAAAATTTAATCGGTAATAGAAAAGAAATATACATCAGAGTATGGAATAGTAACAATCAAAAAATTGACTTGGTACAACATGGATATAAATGTATCACAAAATAACGCTCCAAATGAAAAGCATTGTCATTAACACACTTACAGCATCCACAGATCATCTCCACTCAATCGATTTCGAAGTCTATGCAACAAAATCAATCGAGCAGCATCAAACTTTTTTGCTTGCAATAATCGAACCAAAAGCCTATAAAGTCAAATAAATCAATAAGTTTCGTGATATCAATTCAGCTCAGTTTAAATCCCTTAAAAGTCAGCAACCGCACCTTGGTGAGATGAATATTTCTGAATATTGCGAAACAACAAATACAATAAAATTTTCAGCAAGAGAAATGTCCAGATTCAACACAAAGTGATTGGCAAACTCCGTTGTCCATCCATTATCCTAGAAACATAACACCGACAACAAATCAATCACAATAGGTTATATTACAACACAATTATGATTAAGCACATATCAAAAACATGCATGCTAAAATGAACGCTCTTGTTTTTATAAAAACAAAAAATCGAAAAATTACATGAAGTGGTACAGGCTGTAGAAATTCGCATCTTTCGCTTGAAAAAGTTGAAAACGGATGCGGCACACTTGTATTGATATCAGCAACAGCCGATTCAAACACGTAAAGAGCTTGCTTGATATTAGGTGGTGTTGCACTGGTATTATTGCTGGGTAGATGCAGTTGAATGTATCTAAAGTAGTAAATACAAAAGTTCAACATCAGATATTTATCTAGACAATATAAATAAAAAAATGTCAAATCAACTTACTCCATCCAAATAAAGGAGCGACTATCGTTGTTTTTGATAGATTTCAGTGCATTTTCAAAAAGCGTCAGTTGAGATTGGTGCTCCGATCCACTAATTGCTGACAAAATGATAAAGTTTTGCCAAAGATGTATGCTAGACTGCAAGTTGCTGCGTTGAATCGTATGCTTCAACTGTGGTGCTTGTTCAAAAGATGTCGAAACAAATAAATCTAGTCCCAATACATATTGATACAACTCAATTGTGCTAGACAACTGTGCCCATGAAGCTGAGATTGATACTGGGAGTAGACCATCAAAGCATTTTCGGATGCTGTTAGTCAGTAGTACAACTACATCGTCACTTTTTTCATGCCTAAACGCAATCCGACAGATAGCGTTTACCAATGCAAAAGAATGCGCAGACCCATCAAGATATTTATCCACATTAGCCAATATCTCATCATTCTAAATCACCAGAATAAAAGGTATTAGATAAAGCTGGCTCTAAATATATAATACTAAATGAAAATAACAAACGAAAATACTCACATCAATAAGACCACATTGTATACAATTCATAAGTGTAAAATTATCTTTTGAAGTCCATTGATATATATCACTCTCAATCTGTTTCAAGCATTGACATAGTAGCACCCGCTGCATTTCGCAATAATTGCGAATAACAGAACAGAACCAATCTTTGATACCAGCATCCTTTTCCTTTATGACAGTAACATCCGATTGCTGCAGCAGCCAAGAATCAAATAAACCATTTATAGTCTCGATGGTATCAAGCGACTTTTTGCATAAAGAGTGGTTCCAGTCAATAAGAAAAAATCGCGGCTTTACTAAATAGTTGTGAGGGTATTCGTAAAACGCATTAATGGGAAAAAATCCAAATGATACCAGATGGATAGTAAGTAACAGTACGACTGCTTGATGAGACTCGAGCATGCATTCAATCGAGTGAGTATGTGGATAAATTTTAAATCCAGCTTCCCAATCTACAATTGGAGTTTGACCATTAAGAAACATTGTCAAATACTCGATGGCTTTTGATAATTGTGACACGGACACAAGACACTGTGCAGTCTGTATAATGCAGGTCAGCAGTGCTTCGGATTGTTTTTCTAAAGCTATATATAATCCAAGACAATTGTTAAATTGTAAACATGCTACTTTCATCGCTATCAAATTGACACGCAGTAAAAATGTTACATACTAAATAAGCGCGAGTTTGATCCTGTCAAATGCACCATCATATCCTTTAAAACCATCATAGGGACTCCGCCATCTACTGTACGCTCAAAAAGCATCCACATCCACCAAAAACCAACACTCATAGGCAAAAAACTGATCGCTTGCTGAAACAGCTCTCTAACATCCTTGACTTCACCCCGACGTTGATACAGATCAATATATAGTACCCATAAGCATTCAGATAATCGATTGGGAATCAAGGCACGACCAAGAATCAACAGTGACGCATTAAAGTTTCCAGAATGCTTGTCAATCGTCTCAGTTGTAATGGGTTTTTTAAGTTGACTCACAGCATAGCTTATCCAGTGTTTGATGTTGTTAGGATCCGTTTCAAGCATGGATTCGTATTCTTCAGCAGTAAAAGCTTGATCATAGTATCGTGCTTCCTCCACATTATCACCACGAGCAAGTTTGGCAAGCCCCATAAAGAGCAATGGAATCGGCGGAGGTATTGAAAACTGGCCATCAAATAAATATCGAAACTTGCCATATAGCTGATCATGATCTGATGTAGATGGTTCTTGCTGCAATGGTTTCGTGGCAAGAATCTTTGTACTTAAAAACAAATTTTTATCCAAAACCGCAGTTTCTTGTTGTCGAATAGCTACCAAAACAGTGCTGATAAGACCAGAAATGCTTGATCCAGCACGTCGTTTGGCATGTAGTTCTTGTCGCAGTATTTGAAGTTCAGGACTTGGCAGTAAATGAGCACTTGTTTCCATCAACTCCGCAAACAATTCGTCATCCGACATGGACATATCTCTAAAATGTTGCCCAGTACACGTTGTGTCTGAGCATCTTCCTCCACGAGTTTCATACTGGCATAAGGGTTTGGTTGGATCGAGTCTTCCTGTCGAGCTTAACTTGTGTAACGTGCCGTCGTTCGAGTCCTGATTGGTGTACTGGAAGCTTCTGAATTGCGAAAGTGGGCTTGTGTAGGATTTAAAGGATGTTTGCAAAGTAGCAGAATTAGATTGGACATGGTTATGCGATTTTGATATAGAATGCCGAGTCTCAAGCAAAGTGTGTGTGCGAGTCAAAGGGATGAAATCGGCAGCTGGACTAGTATTTTTATCAATCCCTGAAAGATTTGACAAGGCAGCAAGCTCTGAAACAGACTGCAGACAGTCTCCATCAAAGTCATATAATGGATCGATGGTGGAAAAACCCTGCAAGCCAGAGGCAAGATCGGATATACTTTCGGATTGATCACATCCTGAAAGAAGACCAAGTGGTTCTAATACCAAAGGAGAGGCAGGGGTTTCATTACATTGATCCGTAGATTTTGGTGAAGAGTCATTTAACAAGTCGGTTCTGAAATTCTGCAGAGTGGATAGCATATTCAAGTTTAAAGAAGCTGCCAACGCAGCCGGAGATGCAGTCGATTTAGCATCATTATTGGTATGTTTGTATCGCTTGAAAGCCGATTCTACTGACGATTGAACTGCTTCTGGTAGTGAGATTGCAGGCATTGATATATTGCCAGCTGGTTCAGGAGTAAAAGTATACTCGGGCGAAGATGAATCAACAGACAAAGATCGTTTTCTTCCTTTACTCGCCACTTTCTGCTCTAATTCCAGCATACGCTTGGAGTTGTTGGCAATATCTTGCATTAGCTTGGCTTCTCGTAGTTTAAATTCGGAGAGATTGCTACGTCTTGTCACAGTCAACTGTCGCGAATTTAGTAAATCTTTTTCAAAAGTCGTACAACTTGTAGACAAAGCCATGCGCTGTTTTTTTAAAGTAGATATTTGTTTATCAAGCTTAGTTTTTTCCTTGGCATTTTGCGCAATAAGTTCTCTAATTCCAGACTCCTTGTGTTCCTGTAATAGAATGGACTGCTCCATTGTTGAACTTTGCTGTTGGATTGCTTTGAGAAGTGAATGCGCCTTTAAATTGGACTTGATGATCAGATCCAGCATCTTTTGATCAGTAGAATGACTTATTAGCGAGGTCGAAGATGAAGTGGCGGCGGGTTGTGGCGAAGCTGAAGTTTTAGGCGCTATTGCTATCAAATCTGTTGAATTTTTGCCAGGCAAAGTTGAAGATGACAAGCAAGAGCTCAATAGTGGTAAAGGCTCGATCACTTTAGTAACACTCGGTGTAGCTGCACTAGCAACACATGCTTCAGAAAACATATTTTTAAGGGATGGGTCTGGGGTTGTCACATCAGTTATTGATTCCATATCAGTCAACGACATGTCCATATCCTCCGTTTCAGATTCATTGCCAGTTTCTGGCTTAAGTGATACAGCATCAGAAACGAGTGAATCTGGTACTACTGCAGAAACCTTGTTTTGCAACTTGCGCTGAATTTCCAAGTTAAGAGCCTTGATTTTGTCCTCTAGTTCGCGTTGCTTTAGTATTGCAATATTTCCTCTAACTTCAAGAGCAGAGGTTCCAGTTATCGAGTTTCGGACGGATCTATGCGAAGCAATGCTGTCGGACTGCGATGATGGTTTGCTCGATTCAAAGCCCCCCAAAGATGTCGAGCGAGATGGTAGTTTAGAACGTAAAAGACCATGGTCTGTATTGCAATAACCATCGTCAGATGCATCGCTTAAATCAATAACATAACTAGAAGATCTTTCCTTGACAAATCTAGTTTTAGGAATTGTTGGATGCGCAAATGAAGGGTTTTTAGAATGCGTAATAGTTGATTTCCCTTTGGCTACTTGATAGGAAGATCTTCTGAATGGCTTTGTGGTTAAAGATACAGGCTCGGATGTGGAACTACTGACAACAGACGCCAGGGAAGAATGATCGACAAAAGAAGCTACAGAGATGCAAGTTTCAGCAGCCGCAGATACTTTAGCAGACGACTTAGATACAGGATCACTTTTTGTAATAAAAGGTGGAGATACATCACTAGTACTGGTTTCTTTTAGAACGGAACCCGATTGATCCTTTCCACCTTCAGTTTGATCATTTTTCATCACAACATTTGTATTTCCATTGCATGGATCAATAAGATTTACAGCCGGGATAGCTTCGACTGTATGAGATTGAATGGATGTGGATTCAGAATGAACCACATCATTAAAAGATTTTGTCAAATCTATATGGGGGGATGAATGGAGTGCTGAATTAGTATGTGTGTTGCGTGCTGACAGTGATGGTGGAGGAGGTGGAGGTGAAGAGTATTGTAGCGGAAAAGGTGGAGGAGGTGGCAAAAACGTGTCGGTATAATTCACGTTTGCAGCTGGTGGAAGATTTTTAGGAATTTCAAAAAACAAGTTTTGATTATTTGCAATAGAATTTACAAATCCATTAGAAGAAAATGGTTCTGTCACAGTGATTAGTTGCTGACCGACGACCGTAGAAGGGTGATAATTCTGTTGTTCAATCACATAGTTTAGACAAGCTTGCACAATCTCTGCATGAATTCCAAAATCAGGTAACTGGCTAAGTTCGATGCCAAGAGAGGAAAGCATACAGATTTGATCGCGTATGTTTGGCCAAAGCTGGGGAGAAGTCAACAGAGCTATATAAACCAATCGCTTTGTTAGCTTGCTGCATAAAAACATATCCAAAGCACTGAAAGCAATACAACCAATACTATACTCACTATTAGCTTGCATTTGAGGCGAAAGATCGAGAAATTTGGAAAGTAAAAAGAAATCTGGTAGTTGGCAAAGAATCGCAGCCAAAACCATGGGAGCATTGGGAATACTAGGTGCTGGGCAGTATGCACTGGCAAGATCATTCCAGTCCAAATATAACGTATTGTATCGAGTCAGAAACAAATTCATGCAGCTGCACATGAATGTGCTGATAAATTAATTCATAGTCAAAGAGAACTTACATATCAGTAGAATGTGGTATCATATTTGGAAACATATGCATATGGGGTGAATTAAAGGCAGCATTATTGAATTCTGGAAGCGCACTTGGTGGTGGATTCATAAAAGAGGCAGGCAAAAGTTTTGGAGCAAAAGCCAAAGGGGGGAAAGCGGGTGGATGAACTGTTTCTGAAATATGCATTGGCGACATTTGATGAAGCATTGGAACAGTAGCTCCAAATTGTATAGATTGCTGTGGAAAATCGACTAGAACAAGCATGACAAAATATTAATAAATGTATTTATGTCGGATTTTAAATACATTGAACGGCTATAAAACTCACAATTTGGGGTAGATATATATTGTAGCTGAGGCGAGTTATGCTGATAGGCAGAGCTGTGTCCTATATTATGAGTCGAGTTTTGCTTAAAAGGCGACGGGCGAGATTTAGGTTGTTGCTGTCGCAGTTGATCGACATGCCGCTGTTTCAATCGCTTTTCCCGCTTTTTTACCTTTTTTGATAGCACTTCTTCGCGACCTTTTAAAACATATTTATGGCAATAAGTACAAGATTGAATTGGTGTAGCAACTATTGCAAGTGAAACTTTGATATCATTTACATGATAAAAATATCCCAACAGAAAATATGGATAGTAGAGTTGAAACATAAAGTAGTAATGAAGCTTTCAAGATACAAAGATTTGAACAATTTAGCAAAAAATAGATTAGACTTACCACTTTCATACTCGTCCAATAAAAAGGGGTCTTTTTCATTATGAATCTGTAGCTTTTTTTCGACCAAGACTTGAGTACCTTCAGCTTCAGAGATCTCGCCATCTTCCCTAGCATCATCGTTTGTTTTATGTATGGGAGCATGTTGATTTTGTATGTGGGATTCACCGAAATTTACCACAGCATCATCAGAAATTAAAGCGGGTGCACCGATAACGGTATTGAAACCATCATCATCAATCGGCTGAATGGAAAGAGCCGAGCTAGAATATGCACATTGACTTGAAGTGATTTTATCAACATGCTGAATTAATTCATGCATAGATGCATTAGTTATAAGACTGTTGATATGCACAGACTCGCAGTTAATGTTGGATAATGGAATGGTGGGAACAAAAGGTAGACTGGGAGTAATGAACAATTCAGATTCGTTGAGTGCATACATCCCAGTAGAAACAGGAGTAATAAGAGAGCCAAGTCCAGTATTTTTAGAATTATCCAAAGCCTTTACCGTGCTGTTTGCTGCGACCACGATGGACTGATTGACAGATTCATGGGTCAAACCGAGAGAGTCGGCAGTATTTTTAGTGATAGTTTCAGTAGTATTTGCAGTTTGTGTGTTGGCAGAAACAGTCTTGTTTGTCGCTCTCTTGCTCTTGAGCGACAGCAATGCTGCCTGTCTTAATGCTGCCAAATCCATCAAGTTGAATTATTAAAGAAATGAAATGTTTTGGGCCGAATTCCTGAGGCCAAACAGACGCCTGATGGAAACAGTTTTCACCAACGCACTCTGCCATGAACGTTTCGACCGACGAGATTGCTGCCGAGATTACTGACGAGATTGCTGCCGAAATCTATTTATCGCATCCGCTGCGTCCGCACGGGAATATTCGGTCTATTCTCTCACTCACCACTCTTCATACTCTGAATGTTCTGATTCATGTTCATGTTGGTATTCATGCCATTGCAAACCATTCTTGTTAACTGCATGATAATCAATTATTCTGGATTTTATTAGGACTCGGCTTTGGTTGCATGCACATATAATAAAACAACCGGTCTCACTCCTATCCTCTCTACACCTGTATTTGGTCGTATTCTATCTGCATGCATTCTCAGATCTGCTTCTCGTTCAATTCTTTCTAAACCAACCCTGTCTAGGCGGACTATTCATGGCTCAACATCGGCCGATTCTTGTAGGAAAAATCCAAATCTATCGCTAATCACTAAAAATAGGATTAGAAATTCTCTTAATGACTTGATACTGTGCACTTCGGATTCTGGATTTTTATCCGGTATTGCATTATGTCATTCCTTCACTGGCTATTCTTTCGAATGCATTTTTCAGGTTTGGTTTTGGTTTCAGTATCTGCGATTCTTTCTAAATGGCTAATTAGTTGATTTTATCTCCATTTCAATACAACAGCATAAGATTGCACCTCCAGGAACAAGCTACACGCAGCTGGGTCATATTGTTGTTTCTGATCCACTGTACGATCTGTATATTTGCCTGTTTTGTTGTGATAAATACAATCCAAATAGTTTCCAACTCTTAAATTATTGATTCACTTTTTTTATAGTGCCAGCTGTATTGCAGTCGCTGCATTCCACAATCGCATCACTGTATTTCCCATAAACTCATTCAGTGAGGACAAGGGAGTCCCTTTATTCTATGCAAGTTCTATTTTGTTTGATAAAACAATCTTGGTCTGAATTTTTAAACTAATGGTGTTTTTGGCACTTTTTAGTCTCAGCAAGATATTGTTTTGCCAAAACCCAATTCAAACATTTTGCACATGGCCTTTCTGAACATGCCACCAGAGTTTCCGCATATCATTAATCTGGTCGTTGTTGTTCTTGTGTATGTAGTTTATATTATGGAATCAAGTTGAAGATTATTTTTACAAAAAATGGCTCAATGTAACTGATTATTTTTCAATCGCTAGCAACCGAGAAGTAGAAATTCTACTTTATGAGTGGAATCAACTTAATGGTGTCATTTCCAACTTTACTCAATTCGTGCCATATGCCACTGGAAAAGGCAAGTACAATCCTGTTGGATCTCGTGTTTTCTTTTAGAGTGTAGTTGGATTTGCATATTGAATGCCAACAAAAATCATTTTTGAATACCAGAGGCTGTACCATTGCATTTAGTTTCTCTTCCGAATCTGCCCACGTACTTTCTAATTATAACAGTAGGGATATGCGTTTTATGTTGAAGATGATAGTGTGGTTGTTAAATTATCAATATGCTATTCAGGAATCAGAGCTGCTGCTTCTTAGCTCAATTGACATGAAACATTTTTCTCGAACTCCTCGTCGCCAGCATATCCCGGGACCTTTTCATTCAAAAGAGATACGCCAAGGTAACCCATATAACTTGTTTGCATGCATTAAACACATTACTGATTTATCAAATATGCGACTTATTATCTTGTTATATTTTAGATTTGGAAGCAATAGTGAGCTCTGTTCAAGTCTTGGAATCCAATACTTCCGATTATGAGCATCTTTATATAACTTCTGATCAAGGCCATATCATGTATCTACGAATAGCTCGTGCTCAATTGACTATTCATGTAGTTCATGTGGGCGAAAAGCGGAGACCTATTTCGCTGATGAAAAGTTTGCCATCTTCTGACAACGAACATAGTTTGATCCTGTTTGGTTCGTTTTGCAATGGCGAGATTATTCATGTATGTATACTTTTATTTCAATGCTAAAATGCTGGGATGAAACTGAACCCTCTCGTGTTAATATACTGGTTTAGATTAATGCCAAATCGCTATGCATATTGGGAAACGAGCCTATTTCAAATGATTGGAATGCTGGGCCAACTCTGGATTTCTGTTTGGCTGACACACTAGGAAATAATACAGACACACTTTATATGACTGCTGGTGCCGCACCGCTAGGATACATACAAGAAATTCGTCATGGCGTTGGAGTTTTGATTGATGACACTACCAAACAGTTTGATGGGTATGAATTTATCTAATATTTCACTGATAAAATGTCAATTCAACTGCTAATTTTTTATTTGATAATGCAATGCATGTACAATTAGAGCAATAAAATTGTGGGGGCTTCGAACATCTTGTGAAGATACTGTCGACTCTCTGCTTGTTGCATCTTTTGTAGCATCAACCCGTATCATGTACATGCAAGGTACAATATAATTATTATTGCATCGAAACACTTGGTATGCATTTACGATTATGCACTCACATGGGGTTTAGATGATGAATTTGAGGATATCTCGGATATTTCTGGATTTACTATAGATGTAGCTACACTCAACACTGCAGCTTGTTTTGTCAGTGGATATTTTATCCAAGTTCACTTGCATGGAATCATCATTGCTAGGCCATTGTTGGATAAAACTATAAACAATAACACCTGTACAGGTTGGATGCTTTGCTTTTTATATCAATGGCTACTCTTTATATCGTTATTTAGTTGTGAAATCTGAAAATGGTTTTTTGTATAGTAGCAAATTGGTCACCACCAAATGACCACAAGGTTGGATTCTCTGCCTTTTATCAAGACTGTGTTTTACTTACTTTGACTGGTGAAAATTCGTTGATGCTACTAAAAGTAATTATCCAAGAGAACAGGTAATATAGATATATGTTTTGTAATCAATATAATTTTGGCTAATGTTTTTATTATTTGGAATCACTTTAGTAATGTTCAAATCGAGTCGATTTCTTCAATTTCACTAGATATTGAACCATCGTGTATATTCTGCACTAAATCCGAAAGCTTATTTTCAAGGTAGATTTAGATTTGTATTTTTTAATCAAACTAACCGTATTTATACTGACCCTTCAATACGTCTGCAGCGCCTTTATATCAGGAATATGTATCATCGGGTCATATGATTCATCATGTGTAATACTGTCTATTCTACAGAATGCGGGAAAGTTGGATATACTTTCAAAATTTTCTATAAGTAAAGTTTAAATCATGTCATTTCAAGATGTTCATTAACTTGTTGGTTGTATATACTAATATGTTTTTTAACTTAGCTCAATACTATTCCACTCCAATCAATGTTCCACATTCAATCTGCATCATTAAATCTAAAGAAATTTCAAGCAGGAGCAATGCATTGATTTCCAAACCACATTTACTGATTGGTATTCGCGACGGCGCACTTTTGGATTTCACTCTAGACTTTGAAAACGGTATATCTAATATTTGCTTTCTATTATGACTATACGTGTTGGTATTTGAATATGTATGGTTGAAGCCAAGACACGTCGGTTTATGGTTATGTTTATATTTTGACATTCAAAATAGATCAAATTAATTTCATGCCTCCAGTTATTCTGCAGCTAGGAGACTGTCCATTGGATCTGGTTTATTCACATCATACTGATCCACTTGACCGGTATGTGTTGGGCGTGACAAACCAAACTTGGCAGTTGTCAGTCTCGCCTATTGGCGGAATTCGAATCTCGCAGCTTCTTCACAAACCAATTCTTCATGCAGCAAGGTTTCTATACGATGCTGATGTAGACACAGGATTTTTGTTTTTAACATCAGACACATTGTCATTTGTCAAAGTCGACCCCGAGTCTGGATATCATATACGCAATATTAATATGGGTGATGTAAGTGTTATATTTAACTTGTGATGGTTGTGTCTGTCCATCAAATGCCAAATTTTATATGGATTTGAAATGCATTCAATCAAGTATCTGAATGGATAACATCAACTTGTGTTTATATGGATGCATTGGATATAGACGCCGAGAAGAATCTTGGTTGATCCAGTCACTAAACTTTTAGTGGTTGCTGGGTCTTCACAAGGCGATGCTGATGAGATTTTGACTACTGTAAAAGTCATGAATCCAGATACAGGTCAAGTTTATGCCACAGAGCGTCTAGCTGCTAATGAAACTATTCACTCGTTGATTGGTATGTATTTTGGACATTTGATTAAAAAGTAAACGCATGTAATGGTACTAATAACACCTTTGAATTGACATTTCACGTTTGTAGTATGGCATGTCAAGCCGACCAAGAGGTATATTTGCATGGGGACGAGAATTCATGCTACATCAGGACGTGTGTTAGTTTTTGGCTTAAAACCAGCTACTAAAAATGTATGTTAACTTTGAAAGCATGCATTGTTTGTAATGATTTTACCTCTTATATTTTTGCCATCTATATTGGTTTGCAGAAACATATCAAGTTTACGTTGATGGGGCAGTATACTTTAAACGGTCCAGTATTAGCTCTATGTACATTTGTAAACAGGTAAAAAATGCATCCATATCAAACCTGTCACAACCATGCTATTTATATCTAATCATATATGGTTTTAATTAGCTACTTACTTGCCTCTGCTGGATCTACACTCTATCAACTTAAAATCGAAGCCGTACATAGAACGTAAAGATAGCTATTATTTTTTCACTAATCAATGTACTGTCGACTTTGTTTTACAAGCATTGTGTATTTACCCACCCTTTGAACTGCCATGATAGCATTACAGCAGGTGCATCTATCGACATTAATTCTATAATTACACGGATTCATGCATTGAAAACGCAAATTTTTATTGCCAATACGCAAGACTCTATATCAGTGTACAAGTTTGATATTGCGACAAAAGCATTTGCGTTTATAAAGAGGTGAGTTGAAGCATTTTTGATTTGTGACTACAGACATGCATGCTTGTTAAAATGCTAGTATGTGATTATTGAAATGGATTCTTTGAATATCTAGTGACGTGACGAGTAGAGTTGGATCGGAATGTTTTCCTTTGGATGATTCATTGGTGATTGGAACAGATCGGCATGGTAATATATATGGACTAGACACAAATCAAGGTAAATGTATTGGCCAAACCTACCTTGAATAGTCGACACAATGTTGTTAGTAACCACTATGACTTTACAGGTGAAGACTCTGATACCCACGAATCAACAGATTCACAATCAATGCAAACAGGGTTTGAATTTCATATATTGGACATTGTTTTGCAACTAAAACCCGGATCGATGAAACATCGACTGCAACAAATCACTTCTGCGACTGCGGCAGAGCATACGTCTTTCACTGATGATAGGATGATTTCAGAATTAGATACGCTGGATAAGGGTTGGTGGTCAAACAACGGTACTGCTCTATCCAAGCCCATGCAGAAACTGTATCATGTATCTACTGCCGAAAATGTATCTATTTCTAACGAGGTAATCGAACAACGAGTGCATGGAGGACAGGTGATATATGGCGCAACTCTATCCGGTGGTTTGATCGCCATGTTACGACTACGTTCAGACGTGTACATTGCTTTAGAAATCTTGCAGAATGTATTGGCAGAATTTGAACAGACTCGACCCTTACTAGGTAAACTTGATTTCAGTATATTTGCTTTTAATCAGTAAATAGGAGGCTAACAGTTGATTTTTTAATTTGCTTACTTTGAACATTGCGATATAGGAAACGATTTTAAAACTTTCAGATCAGGATCGGGCGAGTTAAAAAAGTGCATTGATGGGCAGTTTGTATCACAGTTTTTATTACTCTCTGACGAAATAGCTCAAGAGGTAATGCATCAATGGACATGTAAAAGACAAAAACATCCTTATGTTTTAAACCAATCAGGTGTAATGGCCATGAGCATGAATACAACCAAAATGTCGCATATTTTGAAATGGCTAGAGTATATGTGTATTTAAATCGTGAAATGCTTGACAATTACAATATTGAAATAAAATGATGCATGACAAAAAATTAGTGAATGCTCAGTTCTCAGTCTTGCTTCATTTACTACATAAAATCATCAAAATCGTCATACACATCTACAAATAAAAAAGGATTAGACTGCAAAATTAATCAATTATCCTATTATAGCCGCATTCACGTAAAATGAAACCTAAGCAAAGATGTCTAGTAAACAATCTCATGAAATAACTGGTGTGTTGAACTAGAATGAAAATGTACAAGATTTCAAACTCGTTGATTGTACAATTTATGATTATACCAAAAGTGGGACAAACAGTTTGATTTTAAGCAACTGGATCAGTACAGCCAATTTTTATCAAGAAAGTACACGAACATTCAACGATTGTATATTACAAGGTAATTGCTGCAAGATACAGAAAAGTGCTGCATTTTACGTGAACACGGCTTTAATTAAAAACTCAAAACTTACCATCATAGTTGGTCGTGTCACCTCTTCCTGCTGGTGCAGTCTTGAGAACCTGTTTTGCAGCCTTCTTTTTACCCTTGTTCTGTGACTCTTTAAGAACGCGTTGCTTTTCATTGATCATGGCTGTTAGGGATGATGAGATGCGTCGTGTATCTTCTACATTAATTGGTATAACCAATTCTCGAATCAAAGACTCGACAAAGTATGTGTACTGGACTTGATCCTATAAGTGTGTTTAAATTCAAAAGAATCATTTGAGTTGGAGTGATTTATGCATAAAAATGATTAATGGATGGTTTATATTGAAACGGTACCTCGAGTGTGGAAAACTTTTTCATAATCACTTTGACAAAATCGTCAAACTCGCCACGGGACTCGGGATGAAATGATTCAATCGCACCTTCAGTAGTAGAAAGTCCGCCTAGTAACCGAATAATAGAATAGGCATAAATGGCGAAAATCAAGACTTGAATGTTTCGGAAATAAAACTAATGGATCGACTTTTGCAATATACCTGTCAGTGCAAGATCTCCAAGTAAAGCCCTTGCATTTTCCAAATCGGATTCTCTCACTGAGCGAGCCAGTAACTCTTTACGCTGCTGATCGGATTCTGCAGAAACAACATCCTAGATCAAGACATTCATTTCTACGTCAATACTCTAAATTCCGTTATATGCTAAAAACCTGATATGGCTTACATTGGTTGGATTACTCGACTCCTGGGTTTTACGCCTCTCTTCTTCCTTTCGCTCAGCAATCTTTTGGGCCAAGGCTTTTTTTTTATTTACTTTAACTGGAGCAACTGTGGTGGGTTTGACAGTAGCAGCAACAGTCTTTGCAAGAGTTTCTTTTTCGTCATCAGAAGCATCCCAAGAATCCTAATTGAATCAAAAAAATTAAGAATTCTAGCAGTGTAGAATAGTGTTGCCTATACAACATAATGCTGACTCACTTTAACATTGTCCTCGACATCTTCATCATCCCACTTTCCTGGAACAGCAATAGGTGTTGACACAACATCTTCCTCTGAATCGTCTATTGTTTGAAATAAAGTATGAGTTGTCCAAGATCACTTTATCCAAAAGCACATTGATTTAAAGATTCACATAGCCTAGAGCCTGACATGAACACAACTCACCCCAATTTCCAGACATCTAGAGATAAAAGTGATTGTGATTAAATAAGATATGTACAAGTGTCAATTAAACATGTTTATAGCATGGCAAGCTACTCTACTTACTGTTGTTGCTGATGGTTGGTGGATTGAATTCAAAGATTTCCTGTTTTAAAATCAACGATCGTAAACGTTCACTATGGCTCTGTTTCAAGCATTCAATCTTTGCAATGTCTGATTATCGCTCATTTGGAAACTCAACAAAACTGGGTCTTGTGTTGATTTTGTATAAACTGAACGAATGCTCAATCTTCAGTCTTCCTTTCATTTAATTCAAGCATTGATGATTGACAATCTACATCAACATACTATGTTTCAAAGAGACAAGAGTTGAATCTGAATAAACTATCCAGCTTTTGGCTCAACATGCGATAGTCTAGTGCTTGGTCCCTATTTTTGGGGTGTACACCCTGTTTTGATACCAACTCAATATTTCAGTATTTTTTATTCTGCAATTCTCGACGCATTATTGGTAAAAGTTTATACGCCATGAGTAGAGGAGCACCGGGAGGACGAGGCGGTGGTGGATGGAGAGGTGGAAGAGGAGGTGGGAGAGGCGGTGGTAATATGGGAATGGGCTTAGATATTCCAGAAGGGTTGGTGATTACTTACCAGGAAATACCACTATATCCAGTAAGTAATTTATTTGAATCTGTACATTCAAGATTACCTCTAGACCATTCTATATCAACAAAACACAGCAATCATACTTTATAACAGTCTGAAAGCATTGTGTATGTCTACATATAATGATCTTGAGCAAGTCTGGGCATCAATCCATTCTCATTGATAGTATAGTTAAAATGCTCGTGGTAACTGTGTGCTGACCTAGATACCATTTATTGCTTTGGATGGTAATCATACCAATCTATATTTTTCGGATGACACTGAATCAAGGCATTTGATTTGCCGCCATTTAAAGAACCAACGGAGTTGGAAAACCAAATGTTTGACATTTACTCCAAGTTTATCGAGACAATGAAATCATCACCATTTTTCTTGGAGAAACCTGTGGTCAAAAAAGGTATTGTCAGATTGGATATACCATACTATTTGCAATATCTGTTTATTTTAAAGCAGCTGATAGATTGTTACTGATGAAATTGTCTAGATCTGGAGAGATATTCTGATAAATACATTGCTGCCAAGCCAATTTCTCGAATGTTGCACCGAACAGCTACTGGCAAGTATTTGTTTTAAAACTGTCAAGGATATGATTGCAAACTAAAACCAACTGACTGCCATGAAACACCCTTTTAAAATGCCACAAAACTCTGGGCTGCTCATCTCTACCTTGTTAAATTCTACTATTTGAATGCAGATTTAACGTTTTTTCCAGAAGAGCTACATTCAGTCAAGGACACTACCAAGAAAATGGGCAAGTGGTCATTTTTGTTCCTGTGTATACTCTGTACCAATTCAATCCAACTTGTTTCTAAACACATGTACAACATATTAGCTATGCCAAAGTTGGTTTCAAAGGACTTGGATCTTAAGCATTTAGAAACTCTGGAACTGGCAGAAGCAGCACAATCTAAAAAAGAAGGTGGTGATGCTATTGGTGTTAATGAGGATGAGACACTTCCTGAAGACGAGGAATACGATGAGGATATTGAAGAGGACGATAATGACTACCTGATTGATTACTATGAAGATGACTTGGATGTTCTTGGTGGCGACGGATCTGAAGGTAGATCCATCTCAAACTTTATTATTTTCGTTGAAACTCTGAATAGTGCTAACCACCAATTTTAATTTGCACTTTAAACAACAGGTGGTGATTACGACTACTAATTCTATAATTATTTGTTATCCATGTACTGGTGCATGAATGTATCTATCGCTATTATGTCTTACCGAGTGGAATTATACTATGGCTGTCTTGCCACTAAATTTAAACAATACACTGCTTACATTAAAACGCAGTATTTTGTTTTTTAGCAACAATATACATTTATAGCGCTCAGTTTAAGAGTTTCAATAGTTAAAATGACTAGATATGTTTGTAAAATGTGTGTTTTGTTATTGCGTTGACAAGATTGCAGTATATTCAAAGTGATTGACCTGATTGATGCGTCAATCATTTGCAAGAGAATGGCCAGTCAATGTATTTTGCTGGTAGTTTGGTCAAACTGAATGTTAAAAATTTAAATAGCTTTCAACTTTAAAGTAGTACTTGTAGTCACAAGTATTTGAATTTCAACATATTTAAAAAAGCAATGGCCCAGGCCGAACATGTATTCGACTGGGAAAGGTCTAGTGGGTCAATTCATAATCGAATATTTGAATTGACGCGTGGATAAAGTGCCCCACAGTGCTCTAGCGCAATTGAACTCGCAACTCAATACCATCAAAATCCATGTGGCGATGGCTATTAAAGTATACGCATATTTTAATACGACCACTGCTTCAAGACATGAGCAGTATTTGCATCTTTTTCATATTGAATGTACTTTGCGCTAAATATCTCATTTTCAAAATACTACTGATTCTCAACCTACCTTGAAATTCCAACGCCTTGTCATTGGCAATTAATTGAAACATCATCGTAGTTGATATTATAGCTGCTACTCGATCATTCTTGATCAATCGCTTTTATAAACTTGCATTTGAAATACTCTCACCTATTTATTTCCCAATAGTGTCACTTGCTATTTTTTAGCAGTGCTAACATTGCATACATTTGTCGCTTTATCCACATCCACATTCAACCTTATCTTTCTATCCACACAATATTTGAACTTTCTTCAAATATATCTTGACTACCCCATTTCCCGAGCAACCTTTGCCTTGCCATCTCAGCAGTTATACCCTTACAGAATTAATTAGCATGTCTGATCAAGCATTGCAATCAACCAAGCACATTCCACAGTATTTTCAAAAGCGCTACGAACGATTCAATATCAAACTACCAAACGTATGTAGTTGATGATTACTCTCAATTTTGCTTTAATCAAACTTGATCGTTGAATTTAGTATTGCTGATTGCACATAAAACAATAGTATGCTCACACTATTTTATGTCAATTTATACTGATATGATTATCACGCATACCATGCTGCTCCATGTCGCCTATTCACAACACAAATTGCGCAATGTTTATCCATTTACTGACAACATCTGCATTCACCCAACCTATACTACTTTTAAAAATACATTGGATACTCTCATGGTGATGCTTGCATTCAAATGGCTCAATTGCATCATGATTCCGTTTAACTATACAACTGATTGTAACGTAATTAGGTGCTACGAGAAAAGTTTAAAGAGCCATGCGACATATTCTTGCTGAACCTTTTACAAACTAGTATGCACATCAAAACCCTCCCCGACATGGATAACTATACAAAGCGAATTCACTCAATGGCAGGTCGAGGAGGCCAGCGATGGACTCTTTGGCTTTCTCGCGATTTACGAGATCTGTTTGTGCAGCGAAAGGAGGAGATTGGGTCTCGATACACACACGCAGAGTTTATTGAGCTTCTCATAGTGCTTAAAGAGCTCATTGAATCCGAGACTCCGTTGGCCCCCAGCACCAATTTATCAAATCAACAGCTATTGATTAGCACACCGCAAGAGCAGTTGGTGGCAGGATCGTTTGGGAATGTTAGCGGGCTCCTTGGTCAAGAGATGCAGCTCGATAATAATGCACCCACCATGACAGTGTCCGTTTCCGAGATTTTTGGAACACCAGAGCCGCCAGAATTTATCGACACATCAAATCTAAATGCCGAAAACGCTGCATCTATGCAGTCTGAAACAAGTCCGTTTTCGCTGAATGATCTCTTGTCAGATTCGCTGAATGCGATTGGAATGAACCCCACACCTTTGTCACTGCTTGCCGAGCCATCACATGGACTCTATACAGCTCAATTTGTGCCTCCGCCCAACTCAAATACCATGGCGATTGATGATACTATTATGGATGATATACTTTCTCCATTGGTAGGACTGTTTGGCTCCGAGTCTCAATTTCTTGCGCAGACCAACCTTTCGCCAACCTTGATAATTGGTTCCCAATCGCCTGACAGAAACAAGCAGCACTCTCAAAGGGCAGTAGCCTCAGTTCTGCCATCCGCGCTCGCACATTCTCGCCACACATCAGCACCATATGCGCACTCTTCTGCTAAGCGTTCCAAAGATCTATCGTCACCACTTGGAGCTGAAAGATTTTCTCAACCCACATCCAATACATGGCTCATGCCACTTGCTCCTGCGCCACCATCTGGCCAAAATGTCGACATGCTATATTCTCAATTATGGCAAGATGTAGACATACCCAGTCTGATTAATCAACCGATCACCAATCCACTCACGCAACCTTTCCAGCACAATCAAATGATATCGCAGCCATCTGTATTCTCTGCTCTGATACCAATGGAAACTATGTTGGTCTCAGCAGGACTGTACCAAACAAATAATCAACCCTTTGGATCCACGCAGCCTGCATTCAAAGTGGGTAGTACTCCCATGCAACCTGCATTCCAAACGGATGCGTATGCCTCTTCGGCCATGGCTGATACCTTTACTCCACAACCACAAGACTCGTTCAACCATCTCGGGCTAGATGTGGATTTGTCATCACTTTGGTCTTTAAACACCCAACACGTATCTCATACCATGCCAATGAACCTGCAATATACGCCAGTGAATGTCGGACCATCAATACAGACAGCTGCACGCTCTCAATTAGGAAGTAGATACATCAATGCAAATTACATTCCAAGAAGCTTATCAGCCTTTCCACAGGAACCTGATCCCAATCTGCAAACTTTTATTGCCAAATATCCTATGGGATACAACACTGCCGGCACACAATGAGTAGTGTAAAAAAGTGGATCGAGAGCTGCCCTTTATCCACGTCACATTTTCACGCAGCTCATCACAATTGGTAACAATGGGGTGAAATGGATAAAATAAAACGAGAAATTATCAGCAGCCATTAGTGTGTTCATGCATTTGGAATGGTACCTGCATAAAATTCATTCAACCACACTTTCGTGTATGGTCGGATTTGTTTTTGTTTGATTACCCTTTTTGATAATATTCTTTTTCAAATACCAATAGATTGTTCATCTGTTGGTTTGAATGGCAAGGCACTATCGTTTGTCTTCTATACCACGACAACAATCTGACTTGTTGACACGGCCAGTTTGCTAACGATCTGCCACTTTTTTCGGTTAAATACAGGACAGTACTTTTTATTTTGTCTAGCGGCGGCTGCTCGCTAAGTTTGCTAAGTTTGCTGAGCCTGCTGAGCTTGGTGTCGGTCTTTTTCTAACGCGGGAGCATTGACAATTCCATCTATATAGTCTGTAAATTAGCCTAAACCCATCACGCAATACTACAAAAATTCTTGTTTCTAAATGCAACAGCAGCTTGATTGATAACATGGGAATGTTTTCGAAACATGATGAGACTGGGTTGCTGAAACAAATAAATGTCTTTCTGCCTTTTCATTCTTTTTGTCTTGAGCTGCAAGATTGGACTTTCTGGTTAAAAAACCTGAATGCTTTTTACAGTAGACGCAATGTGGCATGAATACCTGAAATGAAAGATTTTTTGATTGATTACTCAGCCAGTCTAATATTTATATGCAAAATAAACTCAGCCAGCCCAATGTTTTATATGCAAAATAAACTCAAGCAGTTTATACACCGAGTCCACGGCAAAATAAAGAACAAGAGTGGGTATTTGCATATCGGCTAATTTAAAACATGGTAACATGTAATGACTGGGGTGGCGAGTTGTGTTACCAAGTAATATTTGGATGATATGAACACTTGAAACACCTTGAGGATATTTGATTGAAGCTTACTAGATACTACACTATCACTGACTATTCAGTCAGAGTAGGCTTACTTTTTTCAACTGTACGAAATTCATATGGTCGGGATATCTAATATAAAGAGCCGAGACAAATTACTGCAGGTATTTCGCTAATATTAGTCAGCCGATTCTGACAATTTAGCCTTTTTTTCTCCTGGTGAAAATGGCTACCAACCTTTGTTGTGCCTCGTGCATGTTCTACCCTGATTTCAAATGAATGGCAGTGCAAAACTGTAGCCCTTGCTACATTAATAATGATTGTTTGTACCCTGGAGATATTTTTAAATCTCCAAAGACATCTCCAGTGCTTAACCATCACAGCAGTTACGTTTATTGAGTGTATAGCACTCTAGGTTGATGTCAGACTAAATGCTGTGTAGCTATTCTTCAGCAACGGCAAATCAATTGTTGTGCATTCAATCACTGCCTTTGCCATTCTGTCCATATGAAATCAACAACAGCCTTGGATTGCTCCGTAGGCAAATACAATAAACATAACCATGATAACAGAGCCACCACCTAATCTGCGAGCATATTTTGCTGGCCAACAAATAAGATCTTGAGAGAAATGATAAATATGGCACTCAATATAGTATGACGTAAGATCATCACAATCCTTGCCACACAAGTTTATCTGCTTAATTTTACAGAGTATAATTTACAGTTGTCCAAACAACCCGGCAAGGCAAAGCCAGTTCTATAAACAGGAAAACAATATTTGGGGCTGATAAGCTGTGATTCCAGTCGCCCAGGTTAGTCAAACAATGGCTTGGTTGCACCAAATCCCCTTTTCTATTGTCGAGTCATCGCATTACTATACCATCACATCACCATATCATTATTTTGTCTACCTCCCGTTTTCAACAATGTTTTCAGCTCAAACTTTCTCACCACCCCTCGAGATATTATTGACTCAGCCCATTCTCGCTACATTACGCCAGTCAACCGACATCATCTCCCAATCACTTATGTGGGTCTGCGCCATCCCATTTATTTTATCTGCATTTTCCTGATTATATTTTTACCAGACTTGTACATTTTTTGCTCATCTAAACCGCAGCTGTTCGCTTTACTTTAAATAGCTCGTGATTGTCCTCAATTTGTTTGGTTTAGCCTTAAACCGCAGTTTACCTTGACAACCAATACTAAGTGCAGTTAGCTGGTAATCACATGCTTAACAATTACATGATTTCAAAACTATCGATCATTTGCGCCTGCTGTAAACATGATGGGCGGATTTGGATTGAAACCGCGTCCATATATATAGCATGCCCAATGCCATAATATTTGGCCATCTCTTGAAGCTTTTATTCCTTTTTTTCACTGATTGCGTGCAGCTTATCATTATTTGAATATATACATTCTAACTTTAATAGAAGTTTATACTGGCACTTTAAACCTTATCGTATTGTAGCTCAGTTTCTTCTTTACTTTTTATCGAGCATCTTTTCCCTTGAAAAACAGTGATCGACAAGTCCAAATTATCTACAGCTTCGCTATTCATTTGTTAAAATATCGGCGTTGAATTAAACAGCAAGAGTGTACGAAATGACCGAACCAGCCAATCCATTGCTCACTGCAATTATCAATCGGCGCAAACAGGAGGTTTCCAAGGCAAGACACAACCTCAAGCTACCCCAGGTAAATATCCATTGATCAAATATATGACCAGATCTACAAGAATGTAAACCGTTGGCAGAGCGCAAGACTGCCGTCTAAAGATTCGTCTTGGACACTACTTGTGAATTGTGTCCAAGTGTTTAGATTAAAGCAATTTCTATGCAATGGTGCTCTATCTGTTACTTGCGTGATGTGGTGACAAATCATGCAGTTGCATTTTGGAGTGACTGAAAGGGTTGAATCCGGATCATCAATGAGATGAATGTATGATTTGGGGCAATATTTGCGCAACCACTATACTGTATCATTTCTGCAGATAGCCTGTAGATAAGGAAAATGGCACATTTGTGCATCTATTCTTATCTACAGACTATGGTATATAGTTGAACAAACTAATGCTATCTGCTAAAATTCAGATTCATGAATTAGGTATAGGGTTTGTGTGATGGACTAGATTTCCCTTTCGGACTGCCATCTCCTATACTATGTGGAGACTGTCTGTTTGCTTTGCATAGTAATGCAGCGCGATATAGAAGGGAGCAAACCCTGCAACAAGGGATGGCCATTGCCAGCCAAAATACACAGTTTGCTCAAAAGCCAATTGGCCAGTCATACTCGACCCTGCCTCTTAACCTGCATGTTTGGTCTAAAGGCAATGATTGCACACAGCATCAAGTGTCCAAACACAGCATGACCGTAAAGGCATTGAGGTTTTATTTGACATCTTTTTCGAGGGGATATTTCTGACTGAGCTTTTTAGCGCTCTAGATGGCTTAATCAGCAACTTGTGTTTCATCATTTAATCAGCATATACCATTATTACGTTATTTTCACAAGACACTGTTTGCAATGCATGTGATTGTTTGCTTCAACCGCTGAGTATGAATTGTTGCATGTGAACGTGTTGTTGGAAACTACTGTTTTGTCAAATGGGGTTCAATGTTGATGGAGCACCAAGTCTTTATTGCAATTTCACTGCCATTTATCTTGCTTTGGCTAGATACAGCGCATGTGCAATTTTAACGCTCGTAATACCTCAGCAACCGAGTATTGAGTTTGTATTTCAATCTCCCGTTTTTGGGACCTAATTCGAAATGCACTGCTCTATTCTCGGTTGAATGACGCTGCTTTGTAGCTGGCACTTTTACACTTCCATTCCAAACACAATCGAGTATGACTGGTATTGGCTGCGATGACCAGATTTCAAACAGCTTTTCCGCACCTTTATTGCCATGCGCTTTTGTAAGGGCGCTCTACGCCTCTATTCTTGCTTTTTGATTTTTTCATTTGGTGTTTAAAGATATTTGTAAAACAACTTGCTAATCCTTGTTTATCGACTTTTTATCAAACATTGTATTTCGCTGGTCCGATAATGACATGCGATGCTGACGGGGCTTGGTTATATTTGCGCGATGCCTTCAACTCCAATCTATTGGAATCATCATTTCTGCAACCTGCCACCAAAACAATAGGAGTTCCAGGTTAAACTCACCCAGCCCTATGACAGATGCCTCGAGTATCTCCTTACATTGACGCAAGATGTTGATCCTATCGAGATTTTAGGAAAGGACAAGTTTTCCACACTAGTGGATACTGCCCCCACAGGCACAAACTGGACGATATGGACTCGTGGCTACGTTCAAAAAATGCTACATATCCGCAAGAGCTCGTTTTCTCGTCGTCTCAAGACATCTCAGCTACTGAATGTCTTGCTGGCTGTCCGAGATGAATTGGTCGTTAGCTCGACAAAAACCACGATGCGAGGCATATCCATCCCAAACATTGCACCTTTAAATGGCGATTTTCGAAAAGGCAATGATCACTACCATTACCAGCATCAACTGGCGAACGGAGAGCATGACTATCGCAATGGTCTTGCCAACAGACACCAGCCGTTTACAAGCGTGCCTTTAGAGCCTTGCTCAACCCATCCTCTTGATTTTCAAGCAGACCATTCTTGGATCACTGAAAATCAACCAGCATTGCAACTTGCTGGAGACTCGTGTAATCCTGTCAGACCCCACTCCACGCAGGCTGCTATGTTCCATGTCCATCCCAGCAATGACACTTTGAGTCACAATCCATCGCACAGTCGCTTTCATTCCCGCTCATTTGAACATGATAGGTACTTGAACTCTCCAAGTAGCCTCCTGATCGAGTTTTCATCCACTGGCTCAGTCACTCCTTCAACCCTATCCTCCTCAATGTATGGGCCTGCTAGCTCAGAGTTTACTGAAGCTGTAAATATTAACCCCAATGTACACACTAGCACAAGCCGGGGAATGGAACCAAACTCGCTCTACTTTGGAAATACTCGCGACTTTTTTTCCGAGTATTCCAACTCGGCTTACTCGAAGGACAATCTGACTACAGGAAGCATCCACACTCAAGAAAGTATTGGTGCAAACCGACAGTCACCTATCTCTGGTTGCTTTGATATACCGACCAAGATTCAAGACTTTTGCACAGAGTCTCAATTTGGGTCTGTAAACTCGTATGTCGCGCCTGGCCCTTCTCCAGATTCTATGAGAGCCTATGAAACTAGGAGACTGTCAAATACATTAGAGTCTGACAACATGTCTGGAATTCAAAACTATCGTTCCCCGTACTGGCGTACTCACCGCTATAACTCTTATGACAGTTCGAGTGAAATAGGTACCGAATTTTACATGGGTAGCGAGGCACCATTTGATAGAGATGCACACAGTAGACCTGTTTCTCCTCGTTTTGAGTATAAGGAATCTCCGGTACTTGGAAAGCGTATGACTGAATTTGGACCATTTGAAGGGTCAAACGGAAAACGATTCAGTCCTCCACAGCTAACCATGGGATCTCTACATGCTGGTCTCACTCTTTCACCATCTCCATTTGTGACACTGGCCGAAGTTTCGTCAAAAATGACCTCGGATATGCCACCAACGTCGCTTCATGGCCATCTTAACAATCACTCGCCCAAAGACGATACTCGTCAGCACCAGTTCAAACAGCCCAATCAGTTTTCCCAACTACCTCAACTGCCTCAAATTCACAATACATCTAGTATATTGTCCAACATAGCCAGTTTGATTTCGCCAAACCCATTGTCCGAGACGTCATTTGATACAATGCTACGAACATCACAGTCTATATTTAATGCACCAATCAATGCGGAGATTCAAAAACCTGTTCTTTCTGCTCCGTTTATTGCTAGATCTAGCGCCGATGATTTTGAAAAAATTCCAAGAACATCGGACCTAGGCAACCCGCTAGCATCATTTAACATTGATTTATCTAGCAACCACATTCAAAATCCAACTGCTTTGCCATTTTTTGGACGCTCTACCACAAACTCGTCCACTTATTTTCAACCCCATTCTATCGAGGACCACATGACAAACGGAGTTTGTACCGACCATCTAAAGCTGTCACCCGAATCCGCTCAACCAATCGATATTAACTTGCAGCGCAGAATGTTTTCATTTTCAGGTCCAGTTAGATTGGATGATGCCAATACTACACAGGGACTGCCTTGTAGCACGGCAAATCTATTTCATCAGCCTGCCTTTGGATTGCTGCCATCATCGACGGTTTCTGGAAAACCGTCTGCACCATTGCTTCTTGATATCTCACAAAACTACTTCTCACAGCCGTTAAAATCGCCGCAGTATCGCTCTTCTCACTCACCGCTTGATGTGCTTTGAAGAATATACTCAACACTTATTGAATTCCTCAATTTGTTTTGGCAAATGCAAATCTACAAACTCTGTTTTTGTAGAAAGCTTAATTGCACATGGCTCTGATAAACAAGTACGGTCTTGTACTTGATGATATTCTTGAACTTTTGGTTTAGTTACCAAATTCAGAAATAGTCAGATTTTCTCCAATTGTAATCTCTTGGAGAATTGTTTCGACCAAGTGCAGTTGTGTTTACGTTTTATTTGTATGTCCGTTTCAACCTTCTCTGGATGCGTTTAGAAACCGAGGCTCACTAATCGTAGCATCAACACCATCATTAGCTAGTTACTACAGTTCCAATCCACCATTTTTGTTTTTTATTTGATATACTCGTCTTGTTTAATATTATGCGCCAGCCGCATCAGATATTTGTGAGCATCGTTCACGCTTTGTGGCAATTCAATTGCCACTATGATTTCAAATGGATCACTGTTTATTTTGATTGAGCAAACAAGTCGTTGCTCGTTGAATACTTTTCGTTTTTGTATCAATTCTTTTTTTGTTCCGTTGTAACACGGAACCTTGTGTAGCAAAAAGCCAACCAATACCAAGGTTAATTAGATGTCTAGTTTGACTACTTGTGACAATCATAGCTTCTCAACTTTATATCCTGGCTGTCACTCTTACCTTTTTGTTAAATTGTTTTCCGTTTTACACCTTGCGCATGGCTTGAAAATAAAATCTTTTTTTGAAATAGTTTGATTTTTCAAGTGCCATTAAATATTGGGCTGTTTATGATATTATTCTTCAATTTAGCACGGCAGAGATATGCAGACGTGCAACATTTGCAACAGATTTAGGAAAGCAATTTGAAACTTGGGTTGTTTTTATCGGGTAATGGTTCAGCAGACCATTTTTCAGAAGCTATGAGATCGTTATTGTCGGACCAGCCTGCCCCATCTTCAACCGTATCGCCCCATACATCTCCAATGAGAACACGCATAATACGTTCAAGATCAACATTCTCGGTTGATGAGGAAGCCAGTGATCCAGATATACGACGAGTGGTTTCTAATCAATTCAATGTCAGGGTTGTTATAGCCATATTACAATGCCATTGCATGATATTAGACTCGAAAAATAAGCATTTCTTTAACTTGACACTCCTTTAAAATAGTCGGAGCATTGCTAATTGAATTACCTTGATTTTCCCGAGCAAGTGGATTAGAAGTTAAAGGTAAAGAGTAGGGTGATTTCAACTCTGCATTCGCTAGTTTTTTTTGAGGCTCTGCTTCTACACCAGGCGTAATCACACTATTTGAAAGTATTTTTCGATCACTAAAAGATCCATCTGCACCCATTTTGCACTCTATCTCGGCTTTTGAAACTACCTCATCCAACACCCATCCACGAAGAGTGTATTTTGGATTAATATGCTTCATCTTGTTCATCCGGAACGCATCCATAGCCTCGACGCGATCTATGGCAGTTTCAACACTAGATGGGAGGTTTTCTGTCGCCATCTCGTTCATGAGTCTCGATCGGTACACCAAAGCCCATAGCTTCCAATCAGCACTGATCTCCATCAAGGTTGGAAGACAATATGCAGTTTCAAACAGTTGTTTTTTTCTTTGATATTGAACGTCGGATGACTGAAGCTGTTTTACTTGAGAGCGTTCATTTGCTTCTGAAATACTGCCTTGAATGGATGGTGTTTGAACCTGCTGATGAGTCGGTGAATAGGGAGGAGTAAGTGGTGTTTGATGCAACTGTGTAGATTTAGAGCTGTCAAATTTCGGTTCACTAGACTGTTTTTTAATACGAGTTTCTGATGTGCTTTGATTTCCTGATTGACCCGACTCTATCCGAGTAGTGTCATGTATATTGATCAAAGTTGATGCACCAAATGCTGGCGTTTCTTGGTTGAGCTTTTTAGCATCGTCTTGCCTGGTTTTCTGATCAAATGTTTGGTTATTGTTTCGGAAATTCGCATGCTGGTCTACACTGGTAGTGTTCATGCTTCCATTGCTCCTTCTTTTTAGCATTTCGGCGTGCTCACGATGCAATCGCTGCAAAGATGACAACAATAATGTAAGCGGATCCATACACCCAGTACCCGCCACGCGTACAGCTTCATCCAGCATATCTTCCCGATGCCTTCCAAACGGCTCATACGCTACTAGCAAAGAAAACGCAGCATCTTTACATTTAAAATAAGACAGGGCACGGAAAAATAATGTGTAATCCACACCTGTAGCAGCCATAATATCCAAAAGTGGGGTAATGAGCTCATCCATATCGGCGGGTTTTGGATCCATCAATCCGAGTTTTTTACACATGAGATGTGTGAATGAATCAATGAAAAAGGATTCAAATTCTTGAGTGATTTTTCGAGCAATGTTTTCACCATTGGATGGGTTGTCCACTAACTCGGCTAAAGCATGCCGCTTTGATTGAAACGATGGAGCTGTAGCAATACGACGGTGATTTATCTCGTTAGCCGCGGCACACGCTTCTTCAAGTGTGGTTCCGGCGGGAAGACAGATGGGTGCCGAGGAAGTTGAAGAAATGTGTGATTCACCAATGAGGTCAGAAAGGACACGCCCTAGGCGCATAAGATTCCATTGCACGGCTATAGGCTGCTGTTTTAAGCAGTATTGACGCTCAGTATCAAACTGGTTTGGTGTCCATTCAGGATCGTAAGAGTCGAGAAATCCTCCCGGTCCGTGGTGGAGCGTTAACCCTAGAATTGAAAGATTATTTGAACTGAGCATACCATGAACAAACCCATTGGCTTGCCAATGAGCAACCATCTCTGCTGTTCGTTTAACCACCATCCGAAAAAATATAGCGTACTTGTTCAAGGGAATTGAAAGAGGATTAAATATGTGTGCTGCAGTTTGACTGGAACGCTTTATTTGCGAAGCAGGGTTTTGTGTAGTGCTAGAATGAGACGATGCACCAGATGTGATGGATTCTGTCGATGCTAGTGATGGAAAGGGTTTGACATCTTTGGTCAACGGGGAAGATAAAAGGTCAGACTCTGCGGCTTTGGGACTTGGCATCTTGAGCGGTTGGTTTTCAGATAGATGGGAGATAACGTATGTACCGCCTTTACCACCTGGCTCAATAGTATGTTCAGTAACAAGCTGTTGTATACCTGCATCTGATTCGGCTTCAGGATAATACGTGCGAATACAATAATCAGCCAATTCACGAACTCTATGGTGATCGTTTCTGAAGTGAAAGAGCTCAAATGAACCAAATCGAATCCATGTTGGCGCAAAGCGAGTGAGAATACCCGCTGATTCGGCTATAGTTGGGCGAGTCTGGACTGGTGTTGGGTGAGAGATGGGTGATGTGCCTAGTTTGAGAGCAGACGTGTGGTCAAAAGAAAGTTGACGGCGAGGCTGAAATGGTTTAGAGTTGAGGGTAGATGGACGTAATGGTATACTTGAATGCGGTTGATTCGGTTCAGGATTTGCGGTAGACTCGAGCGGGCTACCATGATCCTCATTGACTGTTTTTTCGGTAGGTGCTGCGGACAAAGGAGCCAGTCGCCCACGCTGTAAAAGACGAGAAGTAGAAACAACAGCCAGACATCTTGTAGTTGGGATCCCAATAGCAGCCATGTATTCACTGACCATAAACTCACGTAGACATGCCCTCAGTGACAGATGCCCATCGCCAGTGCGGGAAAATTGTGTTGTACCGCATCCTTTGATCTGTAGTGTCCATCGCTCACCATGATTGTCCATCACCTCGCCGATTGAAACGCACCGACCATCCCCTAATTGTCCAGCATACATACCGTACTGATGTCCTCCATAGTTTTGCGCATACGGAATAGCAGTGGAATGAAGTCGTGTTCCAGTCAGATATGACAGCGACGAGGGAGATTTCAACGATACAATATCACAACAAAGCAGTGCTGCACTCTGCACAGAAGTAATCAGCAGTCTAGGATGTGGCTGATGGGTAAATGGTTTATGAAATGCGTAAAATTCCTTTACTAAAGCACTCGATCTATCAGCTTGTGAATGATGATGTTGTGATAGAGTTCCTTGTTGCAGATTACCCCGTTCAGCCAAGTTTCCACCATTAAAACCTTGATTCCATGCATCATCTGAAACTGGCCGACTGAATGCATTTGCTGTTGAAATGCTTTGGGTTCCATTCGTCTTTTGTGATTGCTGTATTGCAAGCTTTTGTGGAGATAGCTGCTCTATAAATGTATTTAAAAATACTATATCTTTGTAGTCGGTCAATGGCTGTTTGATGACTCCATTGGAATCCATTTCCTGCTTTTAACGATTTATTCTACAAAGAATTTGATGAATCTAGTAGATGTGAACAAATTGAAGACGAGTTTAAATCTGGGCCAATGCAGCTCCAAATTTAATGAACTTTGCTCGCCAGTATAGATATATCAGTAGGAATGAAAATATAACAAACAACTGAAATGGGATGGGTGATCATGTAGCTATATGTGTGCTGGCGATATTTACATTATTAGGGGTGGATAAAGTTTTGAAAGTGCTGCCCAAGACACAATGTAACCGACTTTAAGCGTGCTACAACCTATTTGTGCTTGTTGCATGTAATTTGTTATTCCAGCCTTTGGGTTATTCAAAATGAATCTCAACACTACAATAGCTTAATTTATGCTCAACATGTGGTATTTCAATATAGTTTTATAAAATTGATTCAAGACATGGTCTCTACTGCTTTTACAAGTGCGGCAATCAGTCGCCAACTTCGTTTATCTCCAATCCCTGAAAGTGACAGCGAGTTCATAACATATGCAAACGAGATATGAAGGTCAGGACTCCACCAAACCATGCTGCCACCCACTCCACCCCAGCCAATCCAGCCGACATGCTCTGATCCAGGAAAACTCACACCAACACCCCATCCACCTGTAGCAAACGTGACATTTCTTGACACGACTGTATCTGGCATAAACGGAAGCGAGACCAGTGATTTACGTACTGTTTCGGGAGAGATGATGCGGTGTCCGTTGAATGTTCCTTGTTGAGCCATCAAGGCAGCAAATTTGGCTAGGGATTTAGCATTCGTAATACCGCTGTAGCTTGGGCCTTCAGTTGCCCAGATGGCTCTGCGATTATGGCTATGTGGCCAAGGGATAATCTGCTTTGGCTGGCTGCCAGCAACCGCTTTAAAAGAAACGCTTTGACGATCAAACAGCACCTTTGCAAACCCATTTGGAAGCGGGTCGGATAACATACTTTTTGGAGCAAGTATTTTTGCAACGGTGCGTATATGTGGGTAGTGAATCAGTTTGGATAATCGAGGTTCTAGATGTTTAGGAAGTGCTAGATAGTACTCGGCGTCGAGCAATGGCATAAACTCTTGGCGCACAATCTGGCCAATAGTGCGTTTTTGACGATCGACCCTACGAACGATCTCATTAAGATACCAGCCTCGAGTGACGGCATGGTACCCTTGTATTAGAGTACCATTGAAGTTGTGGGGTTGTGCGGCGAGGAGTTTAGCAAGTTGGTCCAGATTTGCAATTTCATCTAGAGTGGGTTGGCGACTGAGGTAGGTGACTCCAGCTCGATGACCCAACAGACATTGAACAGTGACATTTTCCTTGTTTCCTTGGCCAAATTCAGGCCAATATGTAGTTATGCGTTCATTAAAATCCAATAAACCCTGATCGATGAGATAAGTTATAACGATTCCTTCCTTGATCATTAAGCAGGTAGATTAGTAACAAGAATGAATGAGTTTTAAACAGCAGAGTTGGGCTCACCACAAATTTCGAACTCGAAAATACCAACTGCAGCGAGTCCTTATCGTATGGCTTGGAGTATCTCTTGTTATGATAACCGCCATATAGTTCGACCACAGGCGTGTCTCCAACATAGGCAGCGAAGCTAGCCCCGACTTCATTTCCCTCTTCAAAGTTTGCTTTGAATGCGTCTAGAACATTGTCAAATCCATCAGCAATCTCGCCCGAAATGGGCCAAGAAGGACACCGGAGCGAGAACAGATTGCATGTGAGAGGAAAGTGAGTGCGGCCAGTCCAAAACTTGTAGCTGATCATGACAAGGATGGCAATCCATACAGCCAAGCGACGAATGCGTCTACGAAAAGTGTTGACAATGGCAAACGAAGCAGGATTGGTGGTTCCAGGAGTCAAGACAACAATAGGAGAGTGACTGGAGCCTGTGACTGCAGTGTCTAGTATTTGGGTATAATGGTTGTTGCTACTGATGCTGGCTGTCGAATTGATAGTGGAAAAGAGTGGAGCAGCCATGGATGATGGTTGATTTCCAGTGGAAATAGACGAGTCATGAAAGTGTCTGTGAAAGTCAGCTCCAGGAATAGTGGCTTCAGAAGTAATGTCGGCTCCCATTGCTGAATGGGAATTAGTAGTGAGAGGGAGTACATCGAGCAGTTTGCTCAGGAATGGTCTACGTCGTTTCATTGGAGAAATGCAAGTGATTGAAAGCAGTTGGTTGAAGTATTGACCAACAATAGCAATTGTAGGTTTCAACAATTCGAATAAAGAATTGGTTTTAAACTTTCAAATTATACGAATGACAATCATGGGAATTTATTCAATGCTCAAACGATTAGCTTGTTTTTCGAGGCAAAGGAGGACCTCTTCCAGGCGGATAAGTGTCTAGCAAGGCCGTACAATTAGGACATCGATAAGCCTCTGGATCAATACTGGATCTACACCACTGACACTTGGTGACTTGTTCCTGTTCTTCGTCTTCCTTTTCCCGTCTAAGCGCTGCCAATTGTCGTTTGGCTTGACGATATATCCGAATAAACCAAAACATCACCAACATTGTAATGAAGAAACTGACCAGACGATCAGCAAACATGCCAAAGTTGATTGTAACAGCACCATCTGCCTTTGCACTTTCAAGTGTTGGGTATAGAGTGGAGTTGGACAAACCATGTTTGAGCACAAAGAACATGTTACGGATTGATGAGCCTATAGTTGAACAAGTTTAGAATCGAACAAGAGATTACACATTAGAGCAAAGTACTTGCCATCGCTACTAAGAAAGCTCAGCGGAGGAGTAAGAATGTCCTCTACAAACGAAGTCAAGACCTACACATCAACATTTAAGCTTTTGTCATGACAGGATGATAACAAAACAAGACTTACACTAGAAAAGGCAGCACCAGTAATCACACCAATACCAAGTTCTACCACAGGACCTTTATCGACAAAATCACTATAACAAGATGTTAGCTGAAATAGTCAAGAATGACCAACAAAGTATTGATTACCCAAAGTCATTCCAAAAGGTCACCACACTCTTGGTAGCAGCTGAAGCACCAGCACGAGCAGTTTCACTCAAGTTGACAACAATCTCTCGCATGTCATCCATCAGAGGAGTGTTGTCATTTGGATCATCCACAATGCAAGGTTCTGGAGTGTTTGAATTAGACTGACTGTCAGTGATTGAGTTGCTAGTGGTAGCCATGCTAGTCTAACAAGTTTGAATTCAAGCAAAAAAATCAACTTGTATCGAGTTGCATCGAGCACAGGGAGGACAGCAGTTGACCAACACATTGAATCTACTATCAACTCAAGTTACAATCGAATTGCTTTCCATTCATTGCTTCAAATCTGCTTTTTCTTCTCTTCTCAAACACTGGTTTAGCTGGATACAATCCCATGAGTTTCTTTGGGTTCGATACTGCCCTCCCATCCGAGGCAGATTCTTCAGAACCTGTTCGTGCTGCTCATGGTCGTCGCACAAACAATCACAGACAGCATTCTACTTCCCCTGCTAATGCCAGTCAGACTGGAAAAGGTCTGCAAAAGAAGCAGTCTAGGTCTCGTCAGCAGTCTGGTCCGTTGGTTGATAAAGGTTCTCAGTCAAGTACAAACAAAGACTCGTCCAGGCAAGACCAGCATCAGCTGCTCGGATTGCAATCTGGTGTTGCTGTGAGTGACAATATGGATGGTGATCATCTGGACGAAATGCTTAGAGACCGCTATGAAAACAGTCTGGATACCTTTGGTGATAACGACCAGCTTATGGAAAACTATACAAGAGCCTTGGATGAAGAAAACCAAGACCTTAATGACGAAACATTCGGTGATGCTGCTATTGATCCTTCTGGTGAGTAAAATTCACTGCATGATTTGCTAATCCGATCCGTTCTTTAGTGTCATGTCGTTTACGCTGTTCATACAAACCACTTTCCTATGTCCAACTATAACCATCTGCAGTCTTTATTTTTATCATGACTGTTTTTTAAATCCTGCTAATACATTACTGTATTGTAACGCTATATTAGGTCGTGATTTTCAATATGCAAACCATAATGTTCCGCACGAGTGTGAGTTGCACTATCATGTCTAGATCTGAATGCTCATTGTATTGCATTGGCTTGTTTACGCTTTGTTTTTTTTTTCGACTTTGTAATACTATTGAGCACAGTAGATCGTCAAGGACCTGCTCGTCCTAGTGCTGAAGGATCTCCTATTTCCAAGTCTCAACAGTTGCAGCAAAAGGTGTAGCGTATATATTCATTCATTTACCAAGTTTTATCTTCGAGTCTAACTTTCTAATCTAACCAATCTTCAACTGCAATACAAGAATGAACTTATGGCTGCTCAGCAGCAGCGTCGGCTTATGCAGCAGCAGGCTGCTGAAAACATGCGAAATCAATCTGCATTTAATACAATGCCTGGCGCTCCATCAAACCATCCCCAAGTAGCACCACAGTACATGAGACAAATGCCACCTTCTTATAATGGTGGTGGGCTTTCTGGTATTTCTTCAAACAAACCCATGTCAAGTTTTCAAGAAATCGAGGCTCAGATGATGCGGCAGGCACGTATGGGTGCATCGAATACCATAAAAATGGATCAGTCTCATCTACTATCTTCAGATCATATGTTTTCTTCTAGACGTGTAGTGGATCATTTACATCCTCATAATGCTGGCACACCTCCCACACAAGGTGGGGGTGTGTTTTCTCAAAGATCACCACAGGGTATGCAGTCTATGATAAATATGTCTGAAGTAGAAGCCGCAATGCGATCTCGTCAAGCTCAGTTTGGAATGCAATTACCATCACCAATGCACCAATCTATGATGTCCAACAACAACTCACCTCCAATGAATGCATCTGATATTGAAACTATGCTACGTGCCCAACAAATGGGTCAAAACTCTCAGATTCAACTTAACCAGCAGCTCCATTCTTCTCAATTCCAGCAGATGCATCCCATGATCCAACAACACGGTCAACCCCTTATGCGCAGTGAGATGATACCAGGGCGTTACGATTATGCCTCGAGTCCACCTGTTCAAAACAGTCCCAATACAATGTTTATTGAGGAACAGCTTCGGCGTCAGCAGTTGGGTGAAATACAGCGCGAGCATCCAATGCAACCATCTCAAGGTGGCTTGTCCGATAATCAGACCAATCGGCTTGCAAGTAACTTGCCTCAGCACCAGCCGTCAGTGGTTCCTGAACAACAGTTTACATCGCACGATCTTGATTATGCCGAAGATCTTGAAAATGAGATTGGATTTGAAGATCCAGACTGCCTTGAAGAGATTCAAACCAAATCCAAACTGCACAAACAAAAATTGGAAGATGAACGCGATCAACCCATTTTTGCTGTGGATACTGATGAAGATTTTCCTGCTCTTGGTGCTACTCGAACTACAAATTCCAATAACTTTAAGAATAATAGCCGCAGTAAGCAACCATTCAACAATACTATCCAGAAAAAGTATAAAAACCAGCGGGAACGTCATCAAGGCGATCAGCGAATTCCTATCGACTTTGTTCACCGTGAGCGTGAAAGGTTTACACCTAATGACAGCCATCTTTCTCGTGAGGTACTGTCAAACAAATTGATGATATTTTAAAGTTTGTATCTTGACATTGACTAGTCGTATTTCTTGTGTAAAATGCTTGATTTGTAGGCGCGATACAAGGGACTGATGCGTAAATTTGAAATGGAGTATATTGCCAAAATTCAGGTTTCTAATTTGTTCTCTGAAGATCCACACAAGGACGACTACTACTATCATGTATTTACACAGAGAAAAAAGGAAAAAGAAGCAGCAG